AATTTGACATTACGTTTATTTTTTATTTTTTATACAATGACATAATCACCTATTGTGACATTTTATTTTTTATTTGACATTTTTTTTTATTTATTTATTGACATTTTTATTATTTTATATTATTGTTAGTGTAAGGACCGTGTGAGACTTGCCGTGCTTTTTGATTACCAGTTATCTGCGTTCTGACAGTTTGAGTACTTGCGCGACCCACCCAAATGTTCTTTAGATCGGTATTGTTCGTCGGACAACTCAGCAGCACTAGCTATACTGGTTGCAAACTGACACTTGCGTGCCTGTCTTCAGAACGGGTCCACTTAAACTGGTGTGGTTCTTTCCTCAAAAGACCACTACAGAATGAACTTGCACGATTCTCTCACATTATGTTATTTTTACATTGTCTGGACTTGAAAAGAGACTGACCTCTGAGTTTGTTTCGGCATTTCTTCTCAGAGTAGTCAGATAGGAAATGCCGGCTTCATCTAGTTTTTCACATATAAATTGACGTGTAAAAGTGCCGTTTTATGGCCTATTTGCAAAAATAAATTCATAGTTTTTATGCCAAAAATCTGCAGGAAGTCTATTCCACACGAATGAAGTCGCGGGCAAAAGCTAGTCTATCATATAAATGTAACCAGAATGTATTCAAAATTCGAACAGAATTAACCGTCATCGTTAAGCTACTAAATAAACCGCCAATTTCTAACAGCTTCTTTAAGAATTAACATCACTAGCTTCCGCCATCGGTTTCATTCAGTAAGTGATTTTCACGTGAAAAAAGATCCGATAGTCCATATTTACAAAGTTTCTAACATTAGTAGGATTTAATTAACCTAAAACAACAACAAACAATAAAACTTCTAATGAAAAGATATCGAACAAGCCCCCTAATTACTCGAATGCATCGGATTCGTCTGCTGACTCAAGCAGCAAGGTCGTGCCCTCAATACGCCACTCTCACTTCGCAGACAGACGAATTGCTTTGTAGTTTAAGTTTAAATAAATCACTGCGGAGTTTTGCTTGAACCGCATCCGCGTCCGCACTTGGTTTAGATTATAACAATAAAGTGAATATTATAAGAACAAATTGCATGCGTCGACTTCGGCCTAATCTTACTAATATTATAAATGTTAAAGTTAGAATGTTTGGATGTTTGTGACTCAATCACGCCAAAACGGTTGGACGGATCTAAATGAAATTTGGCACAGGTTATAGGATAGGATATAGGATACACTCCGGCATAGGACATAGGCTGCTTTTTATCAACATCCACGTGGCCGAAGCCGCAGGCGGAAGTTTTTTTTACCCCTTTATAATATAAGTATAGATATTAACTTTTTTGACAAGGCTATGAATTAACTACCCTCATATTCTTCTATTTTCTGAGAAAAAATGAGATTTTTTAGCTTTTAAGTGTTGCGCTTAAAGACCTTTACTTGTTATCCTAGAAAGCTAAAACTGTAACTTGTACAGAGTGTATTATTTTGTTTACAGAACAGGTTTGTTCCTAATCAGTTGAAGTGGTAAGCACAATAATATAGGAGAAGGGGTGGTGGTTTCTAGTTAGTAAGAATCAGCCAGAAGATTGCCAAGAAGATATTGGGTGATTTGTCCCCCTCAAAGTGGGCAGGTTTGTTAATCATTAGCATTGGTTTCTATGACTCAGGTCAGCTGCAATTCTACGTGATTCTTGCAACGTTTGTCCATCCTGCATGCTGATGAGGCTTCATTCAATGCTAGGTCATAAGGATAAAGTGCTAGGTACCCTGTACTTTGGTTAACAATCATGTTTTTATGGTACCTATAAATAGGAACAAAGGAGTTACGACTGCGTTGCCATAGTTGTTCATTCATTGATCATATGTAGTTTCTATTGTTGTTTTGTTTGAGTGTTTATCTTGTCTCTTTACAAGAGTCGATATATAAGATACTTACTTGTATCGTTAGCCTCAATTTCTTTAACTAGAATTAAGTCACCTTTTTAAAATAATTCTTTATTTAAATTCGAAACAGACTCAAAGATACATGTATATTACTCAAGGGGTAGTAGCTTATTAACAGAACGACTAAGTCAAGGTAATTTTTGGCTAATTTTAGCGACATTATCTCAGTTGGATATGGGGTGTTTATGAGGGTGAGAGCTAGGTGGGTTATTGAGAAAGATTAAGCAAGTTATTTTTTGACAATTCGAATCTCTTTAAAATTACCGTCAATGCAAACTTTCTATGAAGTTTTTCATACCTTTGTCACGAAGTTGGCTATTCAAATTCGATACAAATAAATGTCAGCAATGAATACCTACTTACTAAATATAGTACTAGCTACTGCCGCGCTGTTTCACCCTGCTTGGCTCTTATTATTCGTACGGTGATGGTTTATAGCATAGCAATATCAGGAACATTGTTGCTATCTATAATTGAAAGAATTTTGGATATCCGACCAGCCGTTCTAAAGATTACCCCGTACAAACAAATTTTACCATTTTATAATATTAGTATAGATTTATACTCTGAACTACAATTCTACTTTTAAAAGTCCGACTACATTTTAACAATAAAATCTAAGACCTAGTCTTTTTATCTAACCTCTATGGTTAAAGAACAGGCACACAATGCAAACCATTCATTTTGTATTGACTTTTTAAACAAAAGAATAGATACAAAATGATACCGCGATTGTTCAATGGTTCAATGTATTTGAAACCAGTCAATTTTCTGTTATTATCTGTGGTTTGTTTAGAGTGTAAGTATAAATTTGAGGTTATGTCACAGATTGTGTATATAAATATAAGTATGATTTATTTCCTTGATTTTATGTTTTAGACAGCTATGTGAACATGATTTTAATACGAGTGGGAGATTATTTTATTATATTTTTGAAGATAAAGTGATATTTAAAGAAGTAGTATTAGCTTCGTGTTAGTTTGCCAAGTATTAAGTAAAGTTGAAATTATCTAACTTGCTATACTTATTTATCGAACTTAAAACTTATTAAAGGCCAAACTTATATGAACTTAGGGCTGATTTTCCAATAGTTAGATAAAAATTATCTGGCGAATAATTATGATGCTGTCGCGTCTGAATGTTTGCATAAGACAGTGACAGCAACAATTTTATTCCTCAGATATACAGCAACAATTTTATTCCTCAGATATCATTTATCTGACTATTGAACAATTAACCCTTAGTCGATGTTATGTTTAACTGTACAATGAAAATACATATAACATGAGCGTGTTGTTTTTGTTTTTTAAATTACCCTAAATTGTGAAAATTAAAAGAAAAAAAATATTCGAACATAAAAATTACAAATAATTATTATGGGAAATCATACCCTCACTCTTCGTAACACATCAAGACAACAACAGTTCTAAATATGCACTCACAATAATCCAAAAATAAACCCAAACACGATGATCTAAAGGTCAAAATCGCAATTGTAACCATAGGTTCGGATGACCTCAAAAAACAATACAAGTACTTAGTGCCCCATGGTCTACTTCCTTAGTAATCGTGGCTAAAATATTACCAAATACCATTGTTTTAAAACTGAACAGGCATAAGGAAATTCGCTCTTATTATAGTGCTGTTAAGGTGGTTTTTAAAGTTGTTATGCGTTATTGTACGGTAATTATTGGCGGTTATACTTTGATGTTTTATCTGTGCTTTAGTTATGGCGGATATTAACTAGGAAATAAGTATTGTATCTAAAATGCGTACTTTAGTTTAATCTACAAGGTATTCATAAAAATGAATCACCGAAAAGTAACAACATAATGTAAGTATGTATACATGTACGCGCCTAACTGCTAAACTGCTGCAACAAATTTCATAAATCTCTAATGTTACGTACGTTATTTTCAAAACCATAGTTGATACACATTTTTTGAAGGTGCAGAAAATACAACGCCAACCAATTTCAAAGTAGTGTTAACTCAATTGCTCAAATGGAGACAAGATCGGCAGCTAATTAAACGGGAAAGTTACGTTTTCTGATAAGAAAATATTTAGTAACATTAGAAGTAGAATATAAGCCCCGTGTAGACCAGTAAACTTAGGCATTCAAAGCTCAAGACATGCTTCAATACCCCTTTTTTGCCCTTCATAAAGACACCAAACACACGCCAACAAACTGTGTGTGCAGTTTGGCGTTTTTGTTTTATCGAAACAGAATGTTGTTTGAAGAAATAAATAATTAAAAACAGCCAACATACTTCCAACTCACATTAAAAAAAGACCACAAAACCAGCCCAAACAACAGCAGCCTTTATTAAATAGCAAACGAAAAGAACCAGTTTCAAAATCTGCAGACTTGAACCCAGGAAGTAGCAATCTGAGCGCAACCGAGGGCCAGTTGAACCGGTTCTACTGGGGTCAAGTTATAACACGGCGGCACAACTTGTAACTTGTTCCGGTGGGCAATATGGTGGCCCATAAGCTCACGATAGATTGATGTACTACGTAATTCTTTGTCAAGCTTCTCATGCATGAGGGTACGAAACCTGGCAAGTAGCATTGTGACTTTTTCCCGAGTTATATGAAAGGTGGAGGATAAAATCGTGAGGAAACCTGGACTTAAAATTTCTAACTAGCTGTCCCATTCGGTTTCACCCACGTTTTTGATTACTACTGCGCTTCCGTGGGTTGTAGCGTAGTTGATGATACATATAGCCTTCAGCCTTCCTCGTTAAATTAGCGATTTTTTTTAATTGGACCAGTAAAACCTGACATTAGCGCGTATCAATCCGCCAGCGTGGTGATGAATGCTCAAACCTTCTCCGTGTGAGTAGAGGCCTTTGCTCAGTGTGCAGTTGCCATTTCTTTATTTCTTCCAACAAATGAAAATGTGCCTAAGATTTTGCCATCGTTTACGGAGACATTTATCTAAATTCTTTCAGGTGCTCGTTCCAAAGTGAACATTCGAATGGAGAAGAACGGGCAAGAAACTCCATATCTCCGAGTAATTTAATAGGTATCTTTGGGGTTTTAGGTTTTCAAAATGCTCACAGTATTACGTCCCAGTACATGGTGGTGATGGGTTCACCCTTTACCTCATGGAACAGCATACCTAGCAAAAAAAATTGAGGATAGGTTACCCTCTGAATCTTCGTAGTGCCTATAATAACAGTGGATATTTCTTCCTCATAGGATCAGGAGAAAGAGGTTTTTCTTCGTAAATTATATAATAATGGCTCCTTTTTTGAGAAGGGAAAATCATTAAATGACTTTTCTCATAAAGGGTATGCCGAGAAAAGTGTCCGTGATACTGGCCCTGAAAATCCAGTGCTAGGATATAGGCCTCCTTTACGTCAAAGTTTGGAATTATAAGAATTTAACATTTGTGATAAAAAACCTTTTGTTTTAAACGTTTATTATTTTGTATACTGCCTACACAGAACCTAAATTCATTAGCGCTTATTCATACTAATAAGTCGGTACTATCTAGTGTTTAGTTTATCAGTGACTAACGCTTATCACATAATGAAAGTATAGTTAAACACTATATAAACATACTGTGTACATAATAATATGTAGTTATGTATGTATTTGAAACATTATGCATGGTAAAACATTATTATCTATAGTGGTTTTATGTATCGATCGAGGCTTCATTCTCTTGCTAATAAATTAGACATTCGCGGCCTAATTACGAAACAAGGTTTTTCTTTTAGTCTAGAATCTAGGTCTAACTAAAACGTTGAGCCAGTTTTTAAATTTCGAATTGAAAGTAGATGAGATAAGATTCAAAATACAAAACCTGACTCAATGGTTTCAACCTAGACTAAAAAAACTCTTGTTTTATTATAAGGGGTCAGTATTCATATGCTATATTAATAAGCATGACAAAAACCAATACTTGTAAAAGTGTAGAAGAGCCAAGCTTCTTTACGAATGGGTCGGCTCGACTGGAGTGATATCACGGCCTTACAGAAAACCGGCTTGAAACAACCACAGCGTTGTGTTTCGCCGTGTGAGTGAGGCTACCGGAAGCCCAATCCTACCCCTCCCCTCATCCCAACCCATCCCAAAATCTTCGGAATCCTAAATCTCAAAACGCCGGCAACGCAATCTTGACTGCTCTGGTATTACAGATCTCCACAAGCCGCGCCGATAGCTTGCTTACCATCAGTTAGGTACCTATCAAATAATAAAAACTCCCCGTTATCCCTAAATCTAATATATTTTTAAGTATACCACACACTTAGTTGGAGGCAACCATTCAAGGTCTAGCTGCCTCAATTCCAAATCTCGAGTGCTCCATTGTACCACACTACCAGGCGCCACCATCACCATCACCAGGTGGGATAGTAGCCAAACGTCAGTCCATTACAAATAATAAAAAAACTTCATCGATCTACTTCTGTAGCCATTTGACCGAAGCTATCAAGGGATCTAAACATGATACTAATTACCGATTACTCAGTTATTGCAAAGCAAGGTATTAATTAGTTGGTAATTAATTGCCTGATAGCTATCTTTATTAAGAGTGGTTACGTTAAGAATAAGGCTATGGGTTTTGAAATAGTTTTAAGAATTATAAATGATATTCAAAATGGTTTTTCAGTATGTAAAGGATATTTAATCGGCATCATTAAGACAAAAGCAAATGTATTATCACTTTTTAAAGGCTTTTTCATTTTATATATTTACAGTGAATTTAAAATATTAAAAAATTGGACATTAGACACTATAAGGGATTTGTCTATTTTTGTGTGTGTGTGTTTTTTTTATAGAAACGTTTCCCCACATTAGGATTTTCTCCTGTGTCGTGAGTGCTGTTACAAACATACAATTTCACATACACAAGACACCCAGACCCGGAACAAAAGTGCGGGAATCGAACCGGCGTCACGTTGCACGGCAGCCAGTTGCCCAGCCACCGCACCAACCGTGCAGTCAAATAGTTTCATCTCCTTCACCTTTGAAATGAACCCATTTAGGCTCTAGGCTTAAAGATAAACCATTTATAGATGCACATCTAGAAAGATAACTCAAATACAATCGCGACCTAACAATTTAGGTTAAACCATAGTAACACTAGCCGTCTAGACGAGCGATTCGACAAAGTTATTGACCCGGTTATAACGAACAATGACTACGGACGTTTTACCATTTACTTATTAGGATTATTACTAGTATAACTAGGTTATGTCGGAACTAAACACGATTCAAACGAAGTCCTAGAGTCCTAGATAGTAGGTATACAAACAATAGAAAATGTATAAACATAATAAGGCATCGCAGATTCGGCCTAGAGCAGGAGATGGAACGAGGTTCTTGGTCAGTAAGAGTCTGAGAAGTCATTTGATGATTTTCCCGTCACAAACAAAGGATCTACCGAAATATCGAACTTAGACAACTTTTCTACAATTTATTTGGAAGCTAGCGTCACGTACCGGCTTTGCACAGGTGCAATGCCCGTCGCCCGACCAGAACCAGACCCGAGCGTACGGCGCGGTGCGTTCCGTGTGCGCCTCAAAGAGCCAATAGACCACCATAGGCGGGGCCCTATAGGGCTGATGTTTAGCCGGGGTTGTGGGATAAGCGCAATGAGGTACCGTTGCCACGGCCTAGAGCAGGAGAAGGAAAAGGGGGGAGGGGGGATTTACCGCTCATAAAAAGAGACAAAGAAAGCAACTGTTTTACATTATAAAGTGATGAAATACACAGTAGCATTTGTAACTAATACATTGTATTCTTCTTTAACAGAAGTTACAAAATACAATGGCTTCACCACTATAATAGATCTCATTACCCGTCAATAGTGCTTAACATAAACAGTCACATTGCATTGGCCTTGTGTTGGATCAAAACAAATCAGACAATAAGTCCTTAAGTACAAGAACGGAGCGACCATTTTTTGAAGCAAAAAAAAAAAATGGGAGTCCGGAGTCCGCAAGCACAACAACGAAAGATCGTAATAAAATGAGTGTAATTATTAGTCATAAACGCATCTTTGTCGTTTTAGAACTCAATGGAGTTTGCCTCACTGGTGCCGGCAGTAAGGTTGGTTGGTTAGGCACAAACAAGCTATAGACTGAAAGTAAGGACCGATTTTAATCCAAAAAGAATTTCTGTCAATAATCCAGATCAACACTTTCTGTATTCTACGAAAGTAAGAAGAAAATTGTATGGAAGTCCAGAATTAATTATCAACCCTTAGTCACCAATACTCCATTAACGAGAGCAGCGCCGCCTATGCCAAAAATTAATACGCGGAAGTAATATTCTCTTTGAAAACAAATATTAAATTTAACATGCAGTTATTAAAGTCGATTTCAGAACAAATTAGTACTATTTAAGGAGTCATAAAAGTGTTTATGTTTCAGTCTAAAGTAAACTTTGAGATTACGCAGTTACAGTTTGTTTTCAAATACCACGGTGGCTCTAGAATCCGGAACATTATGTAGGTATGCCCGTGACAGTTTTGCTGCTGACGTGGGTCATAAAACGCTTGATATTATAGCATTATTAACGCGTAAACGAAATGTAAGCTTAAGCTAAATGCATAAAGTTGATATTTGTAAGGTGTATTATTTTAGACACACATATTTCAATTGTATGTCAAGCTATCTGCAATGCGGTGATCCAGATAAAATTCCATATTGTGCAAGTTCTGATATCGTTTCACATTTAGATTGGCATGTTCTTATGATCATGTACAGCCCGCACAATAACGAACACAGATTAAAACGTGTATGACGAAAGAGTTATAACAAAAGACAGTAGATGGAGCTAGTATCGATTTTGGGGAGTACAGCGATGGATACATTTGAAGAAAATACAATAAAAATTAGTTAACCATCTTATGTAGTGTGCAACTTGTAGAAGGATAAGAATTATGTTATTAATGGGATCGTAGATATAATGATGGTAGATACGTGGTAAATCTATACCCACGGGACATTCATTGTTTTATAGGTGTACGTAAAGAAATTCGTAGGCGTGATAGTTTGTTATGATGATCTAATAATATTTTTATGAACGTTATTAATCTAACTTCATACCGAGGGCAACGGATCGCCTTGGTAATGATTTTTTTTAATATATCAAGGACAGAGGAAAAAAATCGATAACATACGTGTACTTATAACGTTTCTTTTTATCATACTTTACATTACTAAAAGGATTAACTGGAAGGTAGAAGGTCTATTTTAGATTGGTAGGCCAGTTACCTGATGGTAAGCAATCGGCGCCGTCCATGGACACCCATAAAACAAGAGTTACGAGTGCGTTGCCGGGTTCTCTATTTCTATTTACGTATAATATCGGAAACGATACAAGAATGTCTGCTAAGATCTCGCTCCCAGATCAACCCAGTTCAAAAAGATTAATTCTATCACAGTCGTTTTTGATGGGGTAAAATCATCCAGTGACTTAAGAAGCGAGAGGGACTGGCACCGAATCTTATTGACTACTGTCCATTCCGTATCTTCTTCTGCTCCAACCACGGTATCAAGGTGTTTGTATCCGCAAACCCTGGCTGGACATCAGCCCTAGACCTTGTGGTGGTCTATTGGCATTTTGAGGCTCAGTAAGTCTACTATGATGTGTTAAAGCGTGAGTCTTCCCTGTGAGAAAGAGGGATGGAGCTATACACCTTTTATACAATACCACGTCATAGTACACAACACACTAACACGTCATGGTAGGCCCTCAGATCTGGTTCTGATCTGTATTCTGTATACCAGCGCAAATAAATGTTTTACTCAGAGACTCTGCTATTACCAAACAGCTAGGCAGGAAATTATTTGATAACAGTTACAGTTAGGTACGTATATTGATCTCTATTATCAGCATCACAGGATCACCTTGAGGCTATGGTACATCTCAGTACGATATCGATTATATCAAATACTTTTGTGATAAGATAAGGGAAACATGCTAGTGATAACCAGTGCTATGATCTTACTGGTATACTGGGAAGACCTGTATTATGTACTAGCTACTCTCGTGCGGCTTCACCCGCTGCTATGATTAAATGGAGATCCATTTAATCATAGCGTGATGTTTTATAGCCTATAGCACTCAGGAACATTGTTGCTATCTATCAGTAAAAGAATTTCGGCAATCCGACCAGCGGTTCCGAAGATTACCCCCTACATACAAACTTACAAACATACAAACTTACAAACATACAAACTGACAAACATACAAACTTACAAACATACAAACTTACAAACATATAAACATACAATCTTACAAACATACAAACTTACAAACATACAAACTTACAAACATACAAACTTACAAATTTTACCTCTTTATAATATTAGTACAGATTAGATAATGTTTTGGAAAATCATCAAATTCTCCCGCCCTAGTCTAGCAAGAGAGAGTCAAAAGCTAAGGTACAGACTAAAAACCTCACGTCACATCGATCAAAATGATGCCTACATACATCACTTGAGCTACTTTTTACTAATAGACATGATGTTATGACATTATGATATCGTAATCAACATATTGTGAAGAACTTTGCCTTTATTTTAGGATTTTTTCAGAGGGGGGGATACCCTTGGTCTCCTCTTCTCACCTCTCTCGTCTAGGGGCCTCCGTTCCTCAATTTGATAAATGTATCTGGTATTTTATTGTTGGGACAAAAGCTTTGGCCTCATCCAATAAAACATAACCTACTGGCGAAAAACAAAAATTATCTATAAAAACCTTTTTCCTAAAATGATGCGTCATGATATAAATGAATTATTATCTCATCCCTAATTCCATACTTAAAAAATCCACCATAATTACAGTTGTATTGAATTTGTGTATGAATATTAACGTGATAATAGAAAAAACGTGTTCAAATCATAATAAAAACAAAATAATCGTGACGGACGGTTCCGCCATTTGAATAAAGAATCGATAATCGATTGATTCGTAATGTCTATGACTCTTCATATTATTATCCTTAATTAATATCAATCGATTAATTTTTAATTTTAGTTCATCATCGTCATGATTCTATAACTGCTTACTGCTGAGCAAAGACCTCTTCATACACAGAGAAGGCTTGAGCATTAATCACCATGTTTGCTCAAGACGGATGGGCGAATTCATATGTATGTACATAGAATTAGGGATTATAAGTCCAGGTTTCTTCACGATGTTTTCCTTCACCGTATGTCAGTCGTGTCTAATTGCTCATAGAAAGTACTTACATATAAACGCCTTAACCTCCGGGTCACCACGACCGCAGCTATTTACACGACCCAATTTTTGTTATAAATATAGGAATATGTCTAAGCGGGGTTGCGGGCCAAGTACAATTAAGTACCTCAGTCCTGGCCTAAAGCCGGAGAAAGAACTTTATGGTTTTTAGTCAGTAAGAGTCTGAGACTGCATGTCACACTTGGCGAGAGATCTCATTCGATGATTTTCCCCTCCAAAAAGAAGCTAAATGAGTCTAACCGACATCACAATTTTGAAGTTCTTGTTAGAATTAATTATAAGAATAACTCTGTGTTACGTAGGCATATAAGACAAATACATGTATTAACTTAATAATAAATAACAACAATATTTGTTTGGAAACGGGAATCGAAAATTTATTTAATATAATTGCCTACTTATTAGGTACAGTATTACATCAGAATAGTGCCTAGACTTCTTGTTTGAAACAAAACAAGAAAGCTGAATCCAGTCTGTTAGTAAGTAACTAGGTACGTATTTAACAAAACTAAAAAGAGCATAATGCAAATAGGAATTATGTAAAGTGGCTGTTTGGCAAGACATACCTACTTATAGCTGCGAATAAATCAGTATTTGTACAATTCGATAATAAAGTCCATCATTGCTTGGCGTCATTCGGCTTTTTGATATCATAAGCACAATGTTTTACTTACGAAATCGTGTGTCAGATTATTGCGTCAACAATATTGTCGAACTGATTTTTTCTACAAACACGCTGACTTATGTTTGATTAAGACTTTATTAAAACTCAATAAATACGTGTCTATATTTAAATTCTAAATGATTGATCATTAGGTATGGTTCTCACTTCATCTTTTGCAAACGCGGTCGTGACCCCAAAATGTCCACAAACACGAAAATTATTATTTTAAATTTTTATATTCACAATGAAAGTGTTCCATCGCATAACTAAAATAACGTTACAAATGAAAGGACATAAACAAAGAGTATAAATTGCACAATTCCAACAACCACAGAACGGCCAGTCTTTCTAAAAAATGGAACGAACGCAACAATAACATAACTAAACCTTATAAAGATTACATTACAGTTCAAAATCCATTGTTGTAAACGTTGAACGACCGCAAAAATATTAGTGCACATCGCGTGCTCGAATCGGTAACAAATAGTGAAATTGATTGGCTCACCTCTACTTTTTTGGAGTACTCTTCCGTCACGCGCTCCTGTTCTTTCTTCAGCTCCTCGTTCTTGTCGAGGAGAGCCTTCCCGAGCTCTGCCGCCAGCAGTAGGTCGGACTCCTTCTGCTGGAGCTGAGCCCACAGGTCCTGTTCCTGGCCTGCCTCCATAGTAGCACTTGTTTGCCTAGCCGCGGACATTTCTCTAACATACGCTTCTAAATCCTCATAAAAATGTTCGTCTGAAAAACTAAGCGGTACTGGGGTCTTCCTGGTACCACTCTTACTTCTACTTCGCCTATGTTTGTTGACGGGGGTTGATGTTCTAATATCTCCTTTTCCAATAAACTCGGTTTCGTCCGTTATAAAGTTGGGCGACTTGTTACGATCTGGTGGCTCGGGCTCGGTGTTATTTTTACTACTTCTACTAATATTTGCACTAACTTCACCGGCCATTTAATCGGACGAGTCTATACAGCAATTAGTGTAACTAACTTTGCACTATTTTGGTGTAGTTGTTCTTTTTAAATATTTTGTCGAACGCCTGTTGGAACTTGACAGTTTTGGGTAGTTTTATTTTGAATATGTTCTTGTTTATTTCGAACTCCTTTTTTAATGCCATTATAACAATTTGTGTATCACAATAGTAACATTTCCGGCTCACTGGCACACACAGCACTGCACTGTTATGTCGATACACTCGCGGGAAGGCACTGCACGCGCTGCACAGATGTTGCCTCGACAACGGTGCGGACACAACAGACTGCCTGCGAAACCTTTGAGGTAGAACAACCCGCCACCGTCATAGATTATAACGCCGATCAGACAGATACGTAGGTAGATTATAAAACATTGTCTTAAACATTTTCAAGTTTAGTGGATTCATACTACAACTTTACTGGCATTCATACATTGTTTCCATTTTCTTCCATTTTAGGATTTATAGTTTGCTTCAAACTGTATATGACGTTGTTATCTTCTGTATTGCTACCTTGTTAAATATAAATATTTCAAAGAAAAATATATCACTCGAAAACTTATAATATTTATTTATAACTTTGCAAATATGAATAAAATAATCACTACTAGGTATTAAATTGAAAAACCACATTTTTCAAATTATGATGGCTAAAATATCTTTAAAAAATAAGAAAACAATTATGCAATTTGTAAATAAACTAGAAGTTACACACGCTAATAGGTTAGTAATTATCTTGTCATTTAGTCATTCAAATTTTCTTGCAATTAGTGACGATAAGATTTTGAACGCTATTTAAGAAAATTGTACGAATGAAATAATTCAGTAGTCTACCTCTTCATCAATTTCGATAAAAAGAACTGCACTAGTTTGGTTTATAATTGTATATGTAAACTTACCGTGCTAGGTTTCCTTATTCAATCCTTCTTACATCCTTAATCCCTAAATACCCAATCACAAAAGATCAGCAACGCAATTGTAACTCATTTATTAAAATCAGTCGCGGGATAAAATCGCAGTGGTGAGCTTGTGGCATAAGGGTTCGTCTACTAATTTCTTTAAAAATCCTGTAGTAATGGTTCAAAATATAAAAAAATACATTTAAATTCTGAACATTACCTAGAAGCATATAGCTGGACATTGTTTACGAATCATAGCTTCATTTAAACATTTATCATTCGTCCAGATTCAGATTTGCGCGGCAGGATCTTTGGTTCCAGTGCAGAAATAGCATTAGGTTTTTCTATTTCAAAGTTTTCTGACGGGCCTTCAATAAATGTAATACATTAGTAAGAACCAGGCTATTCTTTAAAATATATAGTTGCCGACAGAGAACCTGTATTGATGAAAGACACAAAAATGATAAACTAACGTCAGCTAACGTTGACCGAGTTGACAGTGAACGCATTCAAGCCTTCAATTCATTCATATGTGACTATACGCTCTGCCATCTGAATTATCAGAAGCCTTCTTTTCACTGCGCCGCAGTTAGGTAAAAACGAAATCACTACTAAACCTGTCTGCAATCTTAATCTTTGGTGTAAATCAACACGTGCGTCAGAGCAAGACGGCAACACCAACGTAGCGTTACACGTCACGTGCGAAACAAGGACAGCAACACTCTATCAAGGTGATACGAAGAGAGTGGTCAAACAAAAATATGTTGAAACAATTTATTAACCGACTTTGAAAAAAAGGTGGTTATTTTTGTTTTATTGTGTTTGCAAACGTCAGGAAATGATCTCATACTGATCCTATAATATTCGCATCTAAAACGAAACGAGTTTTTCAATCGTAAAAGTAAACCTTGATTTGCGTTGAGTGGCTTTCGAAACCGAATTCTATCCAATGATCAAATTACTTGAAATGCGCCTATTATGTTAATGCTGTCGTAAAAAGGACGTATGTTTGTTTACGTTGGTCAATGGGGCATTACGAAAATGCGAATTAAAAAAGAAAGGAACTGTGCCCCTTGCCTTAAAAAACTTTAATGACGTGTAGCTCAGCTATAAATACAACCATGCAGTCAGAAACATTAAAAATCTTATAGATAGGTACATACATAATTATTATTGAGTATCATTATAGAAGATCAAGGACCTTTGGCAAAATCCTAATCGAAATATTGAAAATAAAAATCACAACAATCAGTTCTTCATGACGACCAAACTATACCGAGTCACCGTATGCAACAAGTTGACCCTTATTCATCTAACAAACGGGCTTGCAGCTCCTAAGTATACGCTGATTCACTGATTCAAAATGAAAGATACCTCAAAGAATTACAATATAAAAAAATCAGTTAGGTACTCGATAAACATAATGACCGAACTTTATATTTTTTAAGTGTGGGAGTGTCGGAACGAATGGGTCGGCTCGACCGGAGTGATACCAATGCCTCACAGAAAACCGGCGTGAAACAACCACAGCGTTGTGTTTCGCCGTGTGAGGTTACCGGAGGCCCAATCCCTCCCCAATCCCTAATCCCTTAAAGATCGTAACTCCTCCTTTGCGGGTGTTCATGGGCGCTGATTGCTTACCATCAGTTAATCCGCCTGTTCGTTTGCCGACCTATTACATAAAAAAATAGATAAAAAAGGTGATTTAATGTTTCTGCGAATGAAAAGATTTTGAAAAACTGTTGTGATCGATAAAAATTACGAGATTTTTGTGTGCCAATTCATGGTTAGCAAGTAGTGTTAAGTAGGTAAAAGCTACCTTTAGGGCTTGACTACACTCGAGAGATGATCTCCGGCCACCGTAAGCGCGGGTCTGCGGACGGCGAGTAAGGGTAGCTCGCCGCCCGACCAGAACTGGACCCGAGCGTACGGCGCGTAGCGTTCCGCGCGCGCCTCAAAGAGCCAATAGACCACCACAGTCGGGGCCCTAAAGGGCTGATGTTTAGCCGGGGCTGCGGGGTAACCGCAATGAGGCACCGCGACCTCGGCCCAGAGCAGGAGAAGGAACGGGGGGGTTTTTAGTCAGTAAGAGTCTGACACTCTCTCTCGCCTTACCCTGGGCGGGAGAAGTCATTGGATGATTTTCCCCTGACAAAAAAAAAAAAAAAAAGGGCTTGACTACACTACTGTGGAGCTGTGGCTGTATATATCCGAGATATTTTGTAACGAAAGAAACATGAGCAACCGCACTTGCGATTTCATTCCGCGACTGATTTAAATACAAGCAGCTAAAACCGCAGCGGTTCTGCCATATAGTATCCAGGGCCCTAATCTATTTTATCGGAATATAAAAGCATATTTTATAAACCAAAACATAAAAACTTGTTAAGTTTACACCGTAACCGAGCGACAATATCGATCCAACTGTAAACTGAAACAGCTGAAAAAACAGTCTGAAAACAACCACTCAAGGATACAAAGAAAGAAAAGATATTCAGTGAGAAATAAATTAAAATGGCTGCGTTAATAGCACCTACTGATGACATGGAGATGGAAAAAATTGCTGAGGATGAACTGTCCAAGTTACAGAGACAGGTAAGCATAACTTACTTTATCTACCAATATTATAAAGAGGTAAAATTTGTAAGTTTGTATGTAGGAGATAATATTTGGAACCGCTGGTAGGATTGCCAAAATTCTTCCACTGATAGATAGCTACAACACACAGATAGAAGCGAAATGCCGTGGTGGCCAAGAGGTTAAGGAGCCCGCTTCTCATGCATGAGGGTGTGGGTTCGAAACCTGGTAAGTACCAATGTGACTTTTTCCGAGTTATATGTACTTTCTATGATTTAGACACCACTGACATACGGTGAAGGTAAACATCCTGAGGAAACCTGGACATATAACTTATAATTATAAGTTTGAAATCGTGGTGATTAATGCTCTAACCTTCTCCGTATGAGAAGAGGCCTTTGCTCAGCAGTGAGCACTTATAGGCTGATGATGGAGATAGCTACAATGTTTTTGAGTGCTACAGGCTAGTAAACATCTCGCTAAAATCAAAATGGAACCGAGCAGCGGGTATAACCGCGCGAGAGAAGCTAGTTAGTTACTATTATTATACATATATAAAAATAGCTCGTCAACGTCTGGACCAATTTTGCCAATTCTTTTTTTGTTGTAGTATTTATGTTTGTCATGAGAAGGTTCTATATCAAAGAAAATATTAGAAAAAGTAGAGAAAAGGGAAAATTGAGAAATAGTGACACTTTCTTTCGAGACAGTTGAACTCGTAGGAAGCGGGGGCGGGCCACTAGTAAGTCATAATTAATAATCAAGTCCTAAGGAATTACTCCCCCTGCTAGGCTCTTATTGGCGAAAACGCTATGTTTTATGAAAACAAAACCAAACCAAAGTTCTTAAAGCTGCTAATTTTATAATAAACTAGCGACCGGCCTCTGCTTCGCACGGTTCCATCAGCCAACCGATTGCGATTTTCCGAATAACCGTCTACTTTTCTCAAATAATCTTTCATCAAACCTTCTCCTGATAATGACGAAGAAAACAAAACAAGAATTAAATTAGTCTAGGCTTTTTGAATTATGAGCTACCAATACAATTTGCTATTCTTATTTCATATTAAATATACATTAGCGAGACGCGACGGCTTTACGCAGATGCCATGCTCATACAAAATTTCTCATGTTATTATATGTATATTATAAACCTTAGCTTTTAATAATTCTATCAATAAAAAACCGAATCAAAATCCGTTGCGTAGTTTTAAAGATTTAGACATGCATAGGAATATAAGGACAGATAAAGCGTAGTGAGGAATGTCTATTTAAACAGAAATTTATTTAATTAAAATCTAATTTAATGGATGTAAACAGACTGTTAAAAAGGATTTTTGAAAAAAAATCTGTCATGTCAGTTCAGGGTGATGGAGATAGACCGTGCTACGGTGCTGAGCAGCGTGCAGCCGACCCTCAGAATGCAGAAGAACATCATCAATACCTTGAATGCTGACTTAGAGAAGATCATGCTGGAACTCAAGGTACTAATAGACTCCCAATGTGAGTGATCTTGCGAGGTATTTTTCTTAAACTAAATGTTGATTTCGAAAGAGCAACTAAAATTTTTTTTTTTGTTTGTAATAGATCGGCAAACTAGCATACGGATTACCTGATAGTAAGCAATCAGCGCCCATTGACACCCGCACCCGCAAGGAGGAGTTACGAGTGCGTTACCGACCTTTTAGGGATTAGGGATTTGGATATTTAGGGATTGAGGAGGGATTGGAGGAGAGGAAAGATTGGGCCTCCGGTAACCTCACTGACACTGCGAAGCACAACGCTGTGATTGTTTCACGCCGGTCTTCTGTGAGGCCGTAGTATCACTCCGGTCGAGCCGACCCATTTGTGCCGAAGCATGGCTCTCCCACACTTAAATATGACTCAAATTATTTAGTTTCTCTTTCACGGACAAATCACTTGATGGTAAGCAAACGGCACCGCCATTGTACACCTGAAACATGAAGAGTTACAAGTCGGTGCCTGGCTAAGGGGTTAAGGAACTGAGTATAAGTATTTGGTGATAAGTGGAAGCGTTGCTCCACACCAGTATACTGTCAGCTTGTGGGACAGCCAAGCTTCGGTAGGCACTCGGCTCGACCAAAGTGACACCACGGCCTCACAGAGAACAGGCGTGAAACAACTGCATTGAGTTTTGCAGTATAAATCCTAATCACTAAATCTCTGAAGCCCTAATCCCCAAAGGGTTGGCAACGCACTCGTGACTGCTGCTGGTGTGGCGGCTGCTGTTGGTGCCGATTGTATTCAATCTGGTAATACATCTGCTCGTTTGTCGGTCTATCACATAAAAAAACCTACAGCATTTTTTGTTTTGTCAGAATTATCTACTTACGAATTGAACAGCAAATAGATATTAAGATACACAATAATTATTTCCACAGTTCACCAAGAGCACGTCCAATCTTATGGAAGGTGCAAAAAATCGCGAGAAGCTGATCACTCTTCTAAAAGACCACGAGAAGTATTCGAGCGAGGTAAAAGACCATCGGGAGAACATAAAAGAACTGGACTTTTTGCTGAAGCAAGTGCAGAAGGAAATCAAGTCGCTAAGGTCCAAAGTTACGGGCTCGGAAATTGTAAATATTTATTTTGTTACATACATTTCAAATAGCCTACCTACCTACTCACAGCCTACATCATATCATCATATCACACACCATCAGCCTAGAAATACCCACTGAGCAAAGGCCTCTCCTCACACAGAGAAGGTTTGAGCATTAATCACCAAATTTGCTTAAGGCGCGTTGGCAATTTCAAACTTATAATGGGTTTAGGTTCTACGCGACATTTTCCTTCACCGTATTTCAGTCTAAATACACTTAGAAGGTACCTACATATTCTGATAAAGTCACATTGCTACTTGACAAGTTTCGTACCTTCATGCATGAGAAGCGGGCACCTTAATCTCTGGCCCATCTCGACACTGCCAAAAGCCAAAAATACAACCATAGTAAAACTACTCCATTTTTTATCGTAGTTGGGTTTTTGTTTTTATACCCTTATTTATTAATACCAATTAATTTTTTAAACCAATTATCTGATGCTCTCTCCTCGATCAGGCGTACTCCAACGTCCTGACTGGTCAGACACTGATCAGTCAACTCGAGAACCGACTGGATACTGCGATGAAGAAGTTCAATACAGTGAACAGCGAGAATTACTCCATGAGATTGGAAATAGATAGACTGCTAAGGGATCGGTAAGTCGTAACACACCTACCCTTTCTATCCTAAATAATAGAACCGATACAACAGGTTTTTCACCATGATATCCCCTAAAATCAATTGATTTTTTTCAATATTTTTTGTGATACGGCGGCAAACGATCTTGTGAATTACCTGATGGTAAGCCATTGCGAGTGACGACTTGATGTTCGGCAAGAACTAAGGGGGAGGCCCTTATCCAGCAGTAGCTGACAGTGGCTAATGATGAAGCAATCGCCGCTGCCCATGGAGTTGCAACACCTAAGGAGTTGCCAGTTGCCGCTCTTTGGCGATAAGGGTGAAAGACCTCCGGTAACCTCACTCACGCACACTCAGCGAAATATAAAGCTGTGATTGTTTTTGGCATTCCCACATTTAAAATAATATGAAATTAAACCCATACTAAATTTGATACACTGTATAAAGTTTAAAAATTACAAAAGACAGGTTTTTGCATTTTACTTCATCTCTGAAAGATTTAACATAAAACCTCTCGACGCTCGACCTCAAATTTGAACTTTTTTGAGCAGCCACACTTGTCTTGATAACAAATAAACAAGAGAATTTAAATAGTGGATTTACTTAAATCCAGGCAATTCTTCAACACCCACTGGAAGAATCAGTTAAAGCGTCTTATGGATGGCAAGGCGATGATCATAGAACTGCTGGAGCAGGCCATCTCCACTTATGACCAGCGAGAAGAGTGGTGCTCCAAGCTGGATGCCCTCAAAGAGAAGGCAGCTACTGACTATAGAAAACATTGTTTGGTAAGTAGGTAGTAGTAGTAGTAGTTTTGAAGGATAATTTAGAATTACATTTAACTGTATAGATGGAAAGATAATATCAATCCTGAACAATCAATTTTTGTGAGGGGAAATTCATCAAATGGCTTCTCCCGTCCAGGGTGGGGCGGGAGGGAGTGTCAGACTCTTACTGACTAAACCCCCGTTCCTTCTCCTGTTTTAGGCCGAGGGCGCGGTGATTTATTGCGCTTGCCCCACAACCCCGGCTGAACATCAGCCTTATAGGGCCCTGTCTGTAGTGGTCAATTGGCGAGCGCAGAACGCGACGCGCCGTACGCTTGGGTCTGGTTCTGATCGGGCGGCGAATTACCCTTACTCGCAGTCCACAGTCCCGATCCTAAACAATACTGTTACCGTCATTAATTCTAATTGGAGCTTACGCCAGTTTCTTGTCGTACATGAGGAGTACATTTTATCAGTTATTTTATTTGTCCCAATCTAATAAAACGCAACCCTAGGTTGAAAAACACTGCCTGATCAACTTGAACGTGTTTTTTAATTGGCATTTTATATATCTTACCTAAGTACACTCGTTTCTGAAAGGTTTGAAGATCGTATCGGTTCGGGAATACCGGCGTCGGACGATCATTCCAAAGTTTAGCTGTGCGGGGCAGAAAGTTATTTTTTTTTTTTGTTTTATCTCAATAGGAAGTACGTGAACTCCAACGGCAATTAGACCACAGCATGAAGCTAGAAGAGTTCCTCCGTACCAAGGGCACGGTGCGACTGACAGCAGCCGACGCGAAGGCTGAAGCCAAGAAATTGGAGCAACAGGAAGAAGAAATGAGGATCTACAACAACTATGTTAACATACTGGATGCTTTGAAGGTAAGAAAATGGAAAATAACTAAAATAGAAAAGTTAAATAGCTACATGGAATACAATAAATATAAAGGTCCATCTTGTGCTCTGTCTAAATATATTTTTTATGTGACAGGACGGCGAACGAGCCTGCTAATTACCTGATGGTAAGCAATTAGCGCCGCCCATGGAAACTCGTAACAACATACGTGTTACGAGTGCGTTGCTGACCATTTCAGGATTGGGGAGGAATTATGAGAGGGGAAGGATTGGGCCTCCTGTAACCACCTCACTTAGCGAAACAACGCTGTGGTTGTTTCACGCCGGTTTTCTGTGAGGCCTATTTAAAGTGTAATCTTGAGTTAATTCGTTGTTAGTACCTAGTTTTACTAGTAAAAAGTCCATATTTCCATTAAAGTTTCACAGTTCACTGCTTAAAACCACAACTCGCAGTTATATGCATATCTATCAGTCAGTAAATACGAAGATCTTTATGTGTAGTTCTGTAGCGGAATAGCCCGCTTTGGTACCTATCTTAAAGAGGATTGGGCTATTCTCTAGCAGTAGAAGGACACAAGCTGATAATTGACGATGATGATGATTATAATCATTCTAAATAATAAACCTATATCCAGGAGTTCGCTGGCGAAGATGACGTGGACAAACTCATCCAGGAATTCACACGCCGCGAGGAAGAAAACTACGCTCTGTTTAACTATATTAACGAAGTGTGCACTGAGCTCAAAAACCTTAGCGATAATGTTAAGATGTTGAGAGCTAATATTGGTAAGCCTTTCTGTTTCTTTTACTGTGTGCATGTTTAATCCTATGGATCGTAAGATTTGTGCAGAGAAGAAAAACATGAGTGTTCCCTTCTTGGTTAGACTTCATATTTTTCAAATAGGCATCTTTTCATATATATAAATTACTATAGTCAGACTTTTAATTCGATTCCTGATTTGACATTGACCACTGTCATTTTGTGAAATAATGATACCACATATAACAGTGTAGTGATGAACACAAAAATCGATAAACAATCAGTAAATCAGTTTCAGGAAGGCATTCAAAAAATTACGGCCACCGAATGGTCTAAATGTGTATCCCATGTTTTCAAAGAGGAGGAAAAAATTTGTAAGCTAGATATGTTAATTGACAATAAATATCACAGACACAATTCATAATAAATGTTACATAGAGTAACGGCGATAGCGATAGCGATGACGGCGACAATTTATAAAATGTCTGTTTTATTTGTCACGTTCCTTCATGATCGCATTTTTTATTAATTTCACACAAAATTACAAAAGAAAAGTCTCAGATCGTTAATTAATTGTCAAAACTAAATTATCGGTTCAGAAATATTTTATTTCCTGATAAACTTAGTTTACGAGAGTAAATTTATAAACGAGAGGAATCGATTCAGAAATATTCGATTTCCATATCGAATAATTTCGCAACGTCACTATTTATTACGTGTCATAACGTTGCAACACTGAAATTGTCAAATCTGGAATGGAATTAAAATTCCGAGTATAGTTACTCGCGTGGTTTCACCCGCTGCTGGGCTCCATTTAATCGTAGCGTGATGTTTTATAACCTATAGCACTTAAGAACATTGTAGCTATCTATCAGTGAAAGAATTTTGGCAATCCGACCAGCGGTTCCAAACATTACCCCCTGCATACAAACTTACAAATTTTACCTCTTTATAATATTAGTATAGATTTATTATTTGGATTGTTCGTTAGAATAGGTTTATGAAAACTCGCCAAATCAGACCTTAGGCTACAATACGTTATCTTATGTTATAAGAAGATATGATATGTTATACTGTTACTTGTCAATAAATTTCAGGACAGACCATTGAACTTGGCACCCATTTCAAATTTATGTTTTTGATTGGTAAATCTTATCGTACTTAATATAATAAATGCGAAAGTTACGAAGTTTGGGTGTCTATTACTCAATCACGCCAAAACGGATGGACGGATCTGGATGAAATTTGGCACAGGCATAAGATACATTCCGGAATAGGGCATAGGCTACTTTTTACCAACATACCACGCGGGCGAAGCCGCGGGTAGAAGCTAATTATGAATATATGGATACATCTCCAAGCAGACAGCTTTGAACAGGGCGGTGATTTTGGAAGACTTAAATCCAGGTGAGCAGGATATCTTGTGGAGTTGTAGTTAATATAATCCAAACTAATATTATAAATACGAAAGTAACTCTGTCTGTCTGCCTGTATGTCTGTCTGTCTGTCTGTCTGTCTGTCTGCCTGTCTGCCTGTCTGTCTGTCTGTCTGTCTGTCTGTCTGTCTGTCTGTCTGTCTGTCTATCTTTTCTTGTCACCTAAACTACTGAACCGATTTCTGTGAAATTTGGTACAGACATAGTTTGGAATTCGAGAAAGGACATAGGATAGGATATTTTTATACCAAAAATCTGTAATAACATATATTTTTCCCTAACAGAGGAAGAAACAGCCAAGCATCAAGCGAAGCTCTTCCAGCAGCAGGACAGCATTGAGTCACTGCGCAGTACCTTAGAAGAGAAGCGTCAAGCTAATACCGACGCGCGCGCCACCTGTGAGAGAAGCTCGCAAGTTCTTGCCACTTTGCTACAGCAGATACATGCGCTTGCGCTGTTAGTATTTGTTACAACTACTAGAAAATTGGTTAATTTATATATTTTTTTATGTTAAAGGATGCCAAACAAGAAGACGAATTACCTGATGGTAAGCAATGGGCCTTTGGAGACCCGTAACATCGGAGTTACGAGTGCGATGCCAGCCTATTGGCAAATTAGAGGTTTACGGATTGGGGAGGAATTGGCGAAACACAAAGTTGTGTGTGGGAGGTTACTGGGAGCCGGTTTTCGGTGAGGCCGAGGTATCACTCCGGTCGAGCTATCCGAAGCATGCCGTACTGCTGACTATGTTGTATACATTTACTTAGCAATATCCTGTGTCCAAAAGTAAGTATAACATTGATGTTTGTGAACACGTCGCGTCTTCAGCCGATTGCCAAGAGAATTCAATTCAGATGGTGCAGGAATGGATTTATGACTCAACGATTAATACCAAATGCCTGCCCATCACGAAATAAAAAAAACCTTTTATCATACAATATCTATTTTACAATCGGCTTTACAGTACAAAAGCTCGCGAAACAGTTTTCCCTCTGACAGCTCCGTCGAGCGCACGCGTTAAAATGGCGTAGGGCTAGTGTTGCCCGCCCTCGATTAGTAGGATTTTATTCCTATCACTATCATAATTCCACTTCAATTCTTTTTACAGGACATCTGACTGTGATTCCCTACCCCTACTTAAGCTGTTGGGCAAAGCATTTGACATCAACGTGACGAACGCGCGCCTCTACATCAAGAGCTTGGAGAAGAAAGTACTGGAGATCATCGATATCATCAGGATTGATGAGGTGAGTGGAGCAGTTAACTTTATTTTCGAATGGTCAAAGAAAAGTGGATAACGGTTTTGAAAACTGCCCACCATATAAATCTTCAGTTTTAATTTAATATAATAGAAACGGCTAATTTAAAGGTATACTATATTTTTAAATCCACCTAAATAAATAAGATTTTAACTTTGTAGCACCATAGACAATGTAAATTTACTTATTACTTACGCACCAAGCCCATAATAGTAGGCACACTCATTGTCGCAAAAAAATGGACATCTAAATGTTTATGAAGTCTTATTGGTCCTTGGCAATATAGTAAAAGTCCTAATCTATATTTAGACACAACATAAAACACTAATATCTTCAAAGCAGTCTACTTGACTTCGAAATATTCTGTTTCAGTTGATCCAGCGTCAGACAGAATCGAAGGAGAGAACTCCACCATCGACTAGGCGCCGCCGTGGTCGCGCCGCTCCTCCCACAAGGACCAGGGACTCAGTCGCTGCACAAGCTTAAATGCCTTCCTATCACGCATAGATACCATACTGAGAGAATCTAGTCCAAACATTTAATTTTCAACTTCGAATCATAATAATAAATTTGGAAAAAGGTTGACGTAATTACTTTCCTCCGCCCCATTTCACACAGCCGTGGAGGATCACATCATTAAAACAAAATTGAAGAAGGGATAATTGATTTTGTTTAATTTTCACAAAACGATGAACAAATTGAGAAAATTAGCATGCTATGCATGGTAGCTTGTTGCGAGCTGTTGGGCAGTGGCGACCCCACGGACCTGACTCCCGGGAGGTGTCTTGTGTTTCATCTCCAGTTAGTCGATGTAGCTAGCTAGAGTGAACACTGATGAGGAACAAGTCCTTCTACCGCATTCTTTCTCTCTCCGCTTCATTGGCTGGCTTAAATGGAGATTCGCAAGAGTAGGAGTTGAAAGAGAGTAGATGTCTTGACCGTACTTGCACGACTGCTCATGATAGTCGTGGGCTGGCTCTCCTTCCCTAATAAGCTCAACGTATGTTGCCCTCGTGTCACTACATGCTAGCGGCCGTTTCCGGAGGTCCATTATAATAATGACTACAAATGTGGGTTAAGAATGTTGTTTTATAGGATAGAGTGTAGTGTCATAAGCTATCGACGCCACCCATCGACATCTGCTATACCAAAGGCTGATATTTGGTGATTAAGTTAACATGAGGAATTAGGGATAATCCCCAAGGTCAAAACAGAATATCCTCGGGTTTTGTTTAAAGCCTCCGGTAACCCCACTTGCATGGCATAACACAACGCTGTGGTTGTTTCACGCCCGTTTTATGTGACGCCGTGGTAAGACTTCCTGTATCGATTTCGTGTCGAAGAGTACCTTTCCAACATTTCATATCCATCATTATTTTTAGGACGAGAAAGGCTCGGATGAAAGTTTATAGACAATGGATTTTGAATATTTGTACAACTCTGTTGCCACCTAGCGGACGCAGTTTTTTGGATTCTATCGTTTGACATTAAAAATATAACACCTAGAAACAATGCGATTTCATAAATAATAGAACTCATAATAATGCTAATTTAAATATATTACTTTATAAATGGTCTCCATATAAATGAAACAAATATAATGATTTAACATTTTCATATTTAATATTTTTTTTACAATTCAACTAAATATTATAATTGCATATTATGAACATTATTTATATCAGTCTGTTTCTGGATGTCATCTGAAACAATGAAATGAATATAATGAAATAAAAATATAATGAAAAAATGAGAATGCCTCATCAAGTTATCATTATTAACACATATTAATAATTACTTAAAACAACCTAATTTGTATAATATTTATATAAGTAAAAAACTTGAACTTTGGTCCACAATCCAATTTATTATACGAAATCTTACATACACGTCATCATATTTTTTAATTTGCTTATTGCAACTAATTACTAGGTAGGTATACAAATGACTGTTACATCTTTTGAGCGGGAAATTATACTCGTCTGTCACATTTGACAGCTGGAAGTTCAAAATGAAAGCTAGTGTTGCCATTACACCGATTCTAAAGACGTTCATTTAGTTGAACTTCTTCAAAAACTAAATAATGGACACTAAGGTGCTATTATTGTATTTTTGTAAACACATAGGAAAAACCACGAGTTGAAAAGCGTTTAAAAAAGAAGAACAAATAATTCGTCCTGTACTAACACATTATCAGCATGCCTTCTGAGCAAAGGCCTCTTTTCACACGGAGTAGGTTTGAGCATGAATCACCAGGCTTGCTCAAGGCGGATTGGCAATTTCAAACTTAATTAGAAATTATAAGTTCAGGTTTCCTCACGATGTTTTCCTTCACCGGATGTCAGTAGTGTCTAAATTATCATAGAAAGTACATATAACTCGGAAAAAGTCACATTGGTACTAAACTAAACCTCCAAGCTACTAATAAAAGTTCGTCCTCTAACAGTAGAAATTAAATAAACTAATTTATACGTACCAATTATTCTCTCAGCCGTATAGGCAGTCCTCTAGCGACGACGCTGCAAGCGATCATGACGTAGGAAGTGGAACCCCGTGCCCTACATATGGCGCGGAGCAAATCTCGCTCCGTTGTTACTTGGCCAGGATTCTCTACTGATGTGTCTGGAAATATATATTTAAATTATTATAAGAGAGTATTTTAAACTAGTTGTTAAAGACCCTTGTCTTAACTGGCAGAAAATTGATTGAGTAAGTATAATAACAATTAAACAGTGTTCTTCAAGGGATGCCAAAATTATAATTATATTGCACAAATGATAAAACATGTTGCGTAAACTACAAAACATTATGCAGGCCACAAAAAATGTTGCGCAAACTAAAAAACATAATGCAGGCCACAAAAAATGTTGCGCAAACTACAAATCATGTCGCGCAAACCACAAACATATTGCGCAAACTACAAAACATGTTGAGCAAGCTACAAAACATATTGCGCAAACTACAAAGCATATTGCGCAAACTACTGAACGTGATGCACAAATCCTCCCTCAGTAGCGCAACCCGTACTCACCTAGGACTCGATTACTCCACTTGGCCTTTCCCACGTGTTGCCAGGGTACCGGCGCGTCTGACGGCACGTACAGAGACACTAACGTGCTGATCACTTTGTCCACTTCCAGGTCTGTTACCTCCCATAGCATTCCGACCACCATCGGGCTGGGGATAAAGAAAATAACTCCGATGAGAATTTGATACAAAAATGTTTTATAAATTGACATGAAACATTTTATAGAGGATATGAATGTTTTCCTAAATAAAGTAAGAGGCGAGTGATGAGTAAAATGCCTAAGGCGTTAAGTCCACGTTTGCACAATACGGTATATTACAATTATAAGTCATATTTAATACTTTTATTGAAATGAATCTGAAAACAGAGTCGGCAACGTCTCGCGCACGGCCTTAGTCGAGGCCATGGTGCGTAACAAGAGGAACTGGGAAACCATCTACTCCTTCTGTAAAGCAGTTATGCTCGCAAAGAAGGATGTGAAACGCGTGATGGAACCATCCTCACGACCCTGCCGCAGCAGAGGCAACACTCCGAGTGTCGGGGATCAAGGTATGATCTCAAGCACGAGTAACGGTAGCGCGCCGCCCGACCAGATCCAGATCCGAGTGTACGCCTAGCCTAACAGCCAATGGAGCAGTACATGCACCCACCAGGCGGCGACGTGCAGCAGATGGTGCGCGGCGGCGGGCGGGGCGCGCGGCGCGGCGGCGGCCAGGCGCACGGACCCGCAGCCCGCCAGCACCACCAGCGCGGCCCCCGCCCCCCCCCCGCCCCCCTCTATATATATAGCGAGCACCCACCAGGCGGCGACGTGCAGCAGATGGTGCGCGGCGGCGGGCGGGGCGCGCGGCGCGGCGGCGGCCAGGCGCACGGACCCGCAGCCCGCCAGCACCACCAGCGCGGCCCCCGCCCCCCCCGCCCCCCTCTATATATATAGCGAGCACCCACCAGGCGGCGACGTGCAGCAGATGGTGCGCGGCGGCGGGCGGGGCGCGCGGCGCGGCGGCGGCCAGGCGCACGGACCCGCAGCCCGCCAGCACCACCAGCGCGGCCCCCGCCCCCCCCGCCCCCCTCTATATATATAGCGAGCACCCACCAGGCGGCGACGTGCAGCAGATGGTGCGCGGCGGCGGGCGGGGCGCGCGGCGCGGCGGCGGCCAGGCGCACGGACCCGCAGCCCGCCAGCACCACCAGCGCGGCCCCCGCCCCCCCCCCCCGCCCCCCTCTATATATATAGCGAGCACCCACCAGGCGGCGACGTGCAGCAGATGGTGCGCGGCGGCGGGCGGGGCGCGCGGCGCGGCGGCGGCCAGGCGCACGGACCCGCAGCCCGCCAGCACCACCAGCGCGGCCCCCGCCCCCCCCCCGCCCCCCTCTATATATATAGCGAGCACCCACCAGGCGGCGACGTGCAGCAGATGGTGCGCGGCGGCGGGCGGGGCGCGCGGCGCGGCGGCGGCCAGGCGCACGGACCCGCAGCCCGCCAGCACCACCAGCGCGGCCCCCGCCCCCCCCGCCCCCCTCTATATATATAGCGAGCACCCACCAGGCGGCGACGTGCAGCAGATGGTGCGCGGCGGCGGGCGGGGCGCGCGGCGCGGCGGCGGCCAGGCGCACGGACCCGCAGCCCGCCAGCACCACCAGCGCGGCCCCCGCCCCCCCCGCCCCCCTCTATATATATAGCGAGCACCCACCAGGCGGCGACGTGCAGCAGATGGTGCGCGGCGGCGGGCGGGGCGCGCGGCGCGGCGGCGGCCAGGCGCACGGACCCGCAGCCCGCCAGCACCACCAGCGCGGCCCCCGCCCCCCCCGCCCCCCTCTATATATATAGCGAGCACCCACCAGGCGGCGACGTGCAGCAGATGGTGCGCGGCGGCGGGCGGGGCGCGCGGCGCGGCGGCGGCCAGGCGCACGGACCCGCAGCCCGCCAGCACCACCAGCGCGGCCCCCGCCGCCGCCTCCACGCCCGCGCCGCCCGCCGCCAGCTGGCAGCCGTCGCCGTGTCCGCAGTATCTGGAACAAACCATACATACATCACACAGCTGTGGGAGAGCCATGCTTCAGCACGAATGGGTCGGCTCGGCTGAGCCTACCACAGCGTTGTTTTTCACCGTGTGAGTGAAATTACCGGAAAACCAATTCTTCACTCTCTCAATCCCTCCCCAATCCCTAATACCCAAAAGGTCGACATTCACTTGTAACTCTTCTGTTTTTACGGGTGTCAATGAGCGGAGCTGATTGCTTACCATCAGGTAATCCGCCTACTCGTTGGCCGACGTCTCACATAAAAAACACATCACACATTATCGTCATCATTAGCCAGAAGCCCACTGTTACACAAAGGCCTCCCCCTTAGTCCTCCACGTCAAACGACCAGTTGCCATCTGCATCCATTGGCTCCCTACAACTATGACGATATCGCCCACGCTACGTTTTCTGTCCTCGGTCGCCACTCGAGAACTTTTCGGGCTCATCGGCCGTCCGTCATTCGAGCGACATGTCCTGCCCATTGCCACTTCAGCCTGCAGATTTTACGAGCTATGTCGGTAACTTAGGTTCTTTGGCGAATTTCGAAATTACGGATTTTGTCGCGCAAAATAACCCCGGATATCCCGTTTCATCACTCTTTAGGATTAATGGAATTGTCAAAGAAAAGACATCGCGTAACTTCCCGAACAGCGCCCATCCGAGTTGGATTCTTAGGGCGACCTTGTTCTGATCAAAGTATGTGTAGTGGGCTACAATTTCAAGAATATCGTTTCCAACGATGACCGGTACAGGTGCAACATGGACATTTATTTTTGTAGATATAATTGCAATCTGTTATATAGATATTCAGCAATATTTTTGAAAGTGAAATACATTTGCACGCAGGTTATCCAATGACTGTCCCGTTTATTGATATAGCCTCCTAATTGAGGTCCTGAGGTATCTTTCTCTTTAGTCTCCTAGCGACTGTTTAGGTGTCCACTTGTCCATCAGATTTACTGCTACCTTGTTTGGATCATTTGTTTTTTATTAGATCTTTGTACGCTTTAGTCCTTTCTGAAATTTCTTTCGTTACAGTATTTATACACAGGTCGTGATGGAATCTGGTATGAGAGACATACCATAAAGCGTTTGTTATCAGTCTTTACATTTTACACTGGAACCTTTGGATGATATCAACATTTGATTTCGCCGCTGAGCCGGCTATAGGCTTTATTATGCGTTTATATACCAACAGTTTATTCTCCATTGAGAGTTGGCATTTCTTACTGAGTAGCCAGTGCATTGTGCGTATCTGTTGCCCCATGGCCAGCCGTTTCGTAAATATGTGCTTTCTCCATGTCAAGCATATATCCAGGTATAATCCAAGATACTTGGCATGGTCCTCTTGCGGGAGAGGTATCATTTAGAGTGACAGGAGGACATTTTTCTATCCTGTTGGTGAACGTCACCTGGACAGGCTTGGTTTCGTTGGCTTTGATTCTCCAGTCTTTGAGCCATTTGGATATTTGATCGAGGCTAGTTTGGAGTTTTTGTGATGCAACGTTTGATTAAGTGTCTGCCGGAAGTATAGCTGTGTCATCAGCAAATGTTCCAGCGACTACGCCCTCGGTTATTGGAAGCTCGGCTGTGAAAAGCAGGTATAGTATTGGGCCCATCACGCTACCCTGTGGTACTCCAGCTTTAACGGTATGTAAAGTGGTTATCTCCTCACCATGTTTTACAAAAAAGTGTCTATCGCTTAGATAAGATTGTATGAGAATGTAGAAATTTATAGGCAGGTCCCGTTTTATTTTGAACAGGACCTGGTGTCCGTCATGCCACACATGATCAAATGCCTGAGATATATCTAAGAAAGCTGTAGTACTGTATTGTTTTGACTCAAGAGCGTTGTTGATATGTTTCACTAATCTGTACACTTACTCTATTTGTGCCCCCGGCGAAAGACAAACTGGTGGTCAGGTAAAATTTTATGCGAACTGATAATCGGGAGACCTGCATTTAACATAATTTTCGTCTTGTCCATGTTCATTTTTAAACCCACCTATTGGGAAACGACATCGAGGTCGCTGAGCGTGGTGTTCAGGCCCGCCAATAACTCTGCCACCACGACTATATCATCGGCGAAGCGCACTTGAGTTATGGATTCGCCATTGATATTGATAACATCCCGCTCCAATTCAAGAGCTTGAAAACGTCCTCCAATGCGTTCGTGAAGTTTCGGAGAAATTTCGTCCCCCTGCCTCACGCCTTTCTGCAATTGGATTGGTTATGTGCTGTCTTCTTGGATTCAGATTAGCATGGTGGCGTTTCTGTACAAACCCTTCAGCACGATGTATCTATAGGCGACATGGCATCGCTGGAGAGACTGCATCACCGCCCAGATTTCAATTGAATCGAAGGCTTTCTCATAGTCCACAAACGCTAGACACAATAGCTGATTTAATTCCTCTGTCTTTTGTACAATCTATGGTGCTAAAACCTTTCCGGAACGCGGCTTGTTCGGGAGGCTGGAAGTCATCACAGCTTGCTTTCGGGACGGTTCATGATGACACTCGAGAACCTCTTGTACACGTGACTCATAAAGTCTTACTCCCTCTTAAAGAACAGAACTACAGCACTTCTTTGCCATGATTCCGGCATAATTCTTTCGAGTATGACTTCTGGGATATCTTCAGTGTAGTGTCGTGTCAGCTTAGCTCTTGGGTCCAAAGCTGTACTGACAATTAGTGGTGTTAAGGTGTACAACTCTCCGTAGAACCTCTCGAGCTCTCTCAGAATCTACGATTTCGACGAAATGATGACGATTATTATTTGGCTTTGCCCAATAGACGAACTTTTTGCGAAAACCTTTGAGCCCTGGTTTCGATCTTTGAATCGTGTAGTTATTATACGGACGCAGGTTGCGTCGCATGGCTTTTGAAATGCGCCTTTTGAGGTTACCGTACTCTGACATATCGGCTGCAGACTGTAGTCTCATTTCGCTTTGGTGTTTCACGCACGCACGCACGCAAATGTATTCCCGTCTGGATATCCTTTTTTAAATACGACGTCGACAAACTAGGTGCACCGCAAGCCATTCGATTGCCAAGAACTCGCATTCGAGAATTCAAGAATTGTTTTAGACCAATTGTCATTCGACGAATTGCCGTTCGAAAAATTGTCGTTCGGCGGTTTATATTGTTGAATATTTTTTTCGATAAAATATGTTCGATGAATTTTCCGGTGACCAGCAATTAGACACTTGATAATAAGTTTTTTGCGAACATTTACACGCCGATTTCTTAAAAATTTACCAAAAAAATAATTTATATTTATTACCAAGGGAATATAACTATAAAAAAATGTTCCTGTATCTGTATCTAATTACCTACTTAAAATAAATCAATCTATCTTTTTCAATTTTAATTTGAAGCAGAAGTACATAAACCTATAATATTTTTAAACACAACACAATAGGTCAAACAACGTCAAACCGATTTGTCGCTTCCCAAATGCCACGAAAAAACTCAAATTTACACAGCTGTGTGCTTCACGCATTGTTTGCATTAACTTCAAACATCCGAATCTTGTGTCGGTAACAATGTCGTAGTGGCACGGAGATTAAGGAGCCCGCTTCTCTTGCATAGGGTGGGGGTTCGAAAACTGGCAAGTACCAATGTGACTTTTACGAGTTATATGTACTTTTTATGATTATTTAGACACCACTGACATACGGTGAAGGTAAACATCGTGGGGAAACCTGGACTTGTAATTTCTAATTATAAGTTTGAAATCGCCAACCCACATTGAGCAAGCGTGGTGATTAATGATCTAACCTTCTCCGTATGAGTGGAGGCCCTTGCTCAGCAGTGGGCATTTATAGGCTGATGATGATTCGAATCTGCAGGCTTACTCTGTAAATTAATATCAATTCGAATCTAAAACCAATCCGATTCCAATGTTTATTTCGTGGTCACGTGATTCGGTACTCTTGAAAGCAATGTTGTCAACATTGGATTGAAATCGGGATTGCTCCAAGATTACAATCTAACGCATGAATAATACTGCTTTAAAATGCTGTATCTATTAAATAACAACGCTAATAAATAAATATGATATAAATTATGGTTTTATTTATTATTTCTAGCTTTTCTAACGTAATTCCGTATAAGAAAATTATTAAAATCATAAAGTCGTTGTAGATAAGTCGTAATAGAGCGCCAATTTTAAAAGTCGAGTCTAGTGGGTTCATAAGTTGTATACCTAGTTGTGCCCACAGGAATACAAGTGTATTTATTATTATTGTTAAGTGTTAAGTTAATACAGTTGGTAAGTAAATAAAAAATAATATAAATTATACAAAAATAAATTATTTCAATTATAAAATGTATTATTTCAATGGATAAATTATTTTAAAAAAAATTGTGTTAAATTCTTGTGTTTTTTTTTTCTGTTAAAATATCACTTCTCTTTTTATGAGTTGGCATAAAGGCTCTTATATTTTGGTAAATTTCCTCATACAAATCCTTGCTCACTCGGTAATTTGCTTTAAATTCGTCTTCAGGCATAGAAAACGCTTTGTCGGAATATCGCATCATTCGACGCTCATCGCGCCTTTATTTTAAACTCTTTCACGGGATTTAAGTAAAATATAATTATTGTACATTAATACTAATCTAGCCATTTTATAAACTTATTATTTAATTAAAAACACTTTTAGTTTTAACACAAAACAATTTCTAAAAAGTTACACTTTCGTTATTGAAACATTCACAATCAACAAACAATACTAACACAATAATGCCGCAATACTCAACTGTCAAAACAAACTCAAGAGTAGAGTTAAGTGCTCAGCCAATTATACCGATCCCAATCCCATTTAGTTCCCCAAAATGGCCACACAATCTTAAAACAATTTGGCGCTAGTGTTGAATTCAAGATTACGAAACTTCATAATTCCAATGTCGATCGATCGGAATTGTAATGAAGAGTAAGCCTACTGGACTGAAGCCGTAACAAAAAAGTAAGGCAAACTATATCTATTCATATAATGAAATATAATCTACACAATATCCCTATTTATGAAATGTAAGTATTCTATTCAATAACCTGTGGAGTGTGTTTATATAATGTACCTACATATAACTCGGAAAAAATCACATTGGCACTTGCCAGGTCCGTCATGAATGCTGAAATTACAAATATAAAAATAAAACACTTACAAGAAAACATCAGCTTCACTGATATGCGAGATGAAGTCTGCAGGAGACGGAGCCTCTCCCACGTGGCCCTTCCATGTCGGACACCAGTATTCCACGAACGATGTCATACGGTTCTCCATACGATCGAGGTTCTTCTCTGAAAGAATTAACATTCAATTTTTAACTTTACTAGCTTCCGCATGTGTCATCCCGCGCGTGGTATGTTGATAAAACAGTAGCCTATGTCTTATTCTGCAGTGTATCCTATGCCTGTGTCAAATTTCATACGGATCAGTCAAGCCGTTTTGGCGTGATTAAATGACAAATACGCAAACATCGAAACATATTTACTTTCGGATTTATAATATTAGTAGAAAGTAAGATTACAAAGCAATGGCCTAAAATTGGTAGGGAATCCTATAAATAGATGCTATTTAGATCAGCTGAGGTTACGAAGCAACTGAGCCAGCGCAATCCAGGAAAAGGGACTGAGTGTCAGACTCTTACTGACTAAAAGCCACCCCTTTTAGTCAGTAAGAGTCGGACACTCCATCCGATATTTCCCCAGTTCAGTCGGTTTTTGAAACACAATTTATTTTTTATAATCGATCGAGTCGACGCAGATGGAACTGCTAAGTCATTTACAGACCAACTACTAATAGGATTTCCGAAAAAAATATCAATAACAGTAGGCAGTCTGGAGTTGTGTCCAGTTTATGACAATAAGTTGACTCCTCTTCATCATACATCAACAATATTGGCGAAAACCTTGAACTTTTGCCTACATAAGCGGATAAAAAGTTTGCACGAATGGGTCGGCTCGACACACCACGGCCTTACAGAAAACCGGCGGTGAAACAACCACAGCGTTGTGTTTAGCCGTATAAGTAGGGTTACGGGACGCTCAATCATTACCCTCTTCCAATCTCTCCCCAAACCTAAAATGTCCTAATTCCTAATCCGCAAAAGGTCGGCGACGCAATCGCAACTCCTCTGTTGTTGCGGGTGTCCACTGGCAGCGCGGATTGCTTACCATCAGGAAATCCGTCAGTTGATTTGCCGTCCTATCACATCAAAATAAAATACGAGTAAAAGACGTTACAAAAATAATTAAATATATAGGTAAAATGCACCGTTTTGATTTATATTTACCTGGGTTTATAACATATCTTCCGACCTCACACTTGGCCGCATAGTACCCGTCTACGATATTTTTCTCATGCACCTTATACAGGTAGTATAAAAAGTGGATGTTCTCCATTCGACATACAGGGTGTTGGTTCAATATGGGTAGAGTTTCCCATGGAAATGTGTCGAGCCTCTGAAATTGAAACAAAACCAAATGTATTACCCCATAATACTACGCCTTAATTCTGTTTCATTATGGAATGTAACGGTTTTTTTTAGTCGCTAATCTTGCGAAAAAATCATTACATATGTTTACGTAATTAAAGGTCAACGGAATCATAGCGCAATTTAATATGAAATATAAAGTTGTACGTTACCTCGATACATCGAGATAGCTCGCGCTATAGTTTCGTTACCGGCGATAGTATAGGTGTCGAATGATTTATTTATTTTTGATGAGCAGGAAGCATTGTACCTTTTTTGATTATACACGCTTAATTAGTAAAACAGTGTTTAATTATCCACCCTCTCCCGAGTCGACTTTCGTAAAACATACATTTTAAAACTCACCTCATCAACAATAAGAATAACAGGATACCTCTTAGCCTTCTTCAACCCGGTCCATTCATCATTATCTTTGACTATTGAAGCGGTTTGAGAAAACGCCTTAATACCATCAACTAAACTAAAATGATGTAACTTTTCAAAACATTTTGACAAACACTTCAAACAAAGTTCATTTAAAAATCGAAACTCCTTGGTGCAACTGCCGCATTCCGAATTCAAAACTTGTCTCACATCCTCAATGTTGCCATGTTCAGTTAAAATTCTTCGGATACAGGATTTAATTTGTTGTGATTGCAACACTGGACTGCATTCTATAAGGTTGTATAGTAGGATTTTTTGTTTTTGTGTTAGCCTGATAAATCTGTAAAAATAATATTTGAAATATGTTAAATTTTATTAAATATTGGAATTGATTTTTAATTTGGTATGAAACTAAGGAGTAATATTTTGAGATAACATTTAAGAGAGCCAGTGTTACTTTTTAAATCACTAGATCATAATTAACATATTAATTTGAAATCACAACATTTATGTATGTGATTTGAAGAAACGCCCGCAGTTTTTTTTTTAATTAAAACATTTTATGTACTATAAATATCCCCACTACAATGAAATTTAAACAACTGACTAAAAAGTAAACAGATTTACTGTTAGGTGTCTAACTTACCCCCAATCCAATATAGCGCTGTCAACTAATTTGACGATCTTCTCCTTCCAGGTCTTGTCCATAAGTTTACCAGTAAGCAAGGACCCCCAGCCGCCCAGCCATTCTTTATCCATCACATTTATTACACTCTGAAAGCAGACATAAGACACATTGGGTGAGCGAATGGGTCAGCTCCACCGGAGTGATACCACGGCCTCAAAGAAAACCGGCTTGAAACAACCACAGCGTAGTGCTTCGCCGTGTGAGGTTACCAAAGGCCCAATCCTTCTTCCCCTCCCCCAATACCTAAATCTCCTAAACCCTAATCCCCAAAAAGCCTTCAAATATCCAGTCTGATAAGCAATCAGAGTACCAATGGACACCGGCAAAATTGAGCTACTAATGTGAGTTTCCTTTTAGGAGGTCAGAAATTTTTGGGCATTAGGCATAATGATGATAGGGAGAGCTGTGGGGAGGTTTTTGTAAAGCCGTAGTATCACTCCGGTCAAAAAGGCCTATTTATTGACATCACTATGGGATTGATCGACAGACGTCTATTTCTAATATATTGTATCAAAAGATCTCAGACGGAATAATTTGAGGTGATTTTGATATTTGAGGGGTTATTAAAAACAACTTAATTTTGACTATTTCTATGTATGGCAACATTTTCACATTAGGTGATGTACCTGTAAAGATGGTGTTGTAAATGAATGAATGAATGAATGAACAAACGAACGAGTGTATGAACGAATGAATCAATAAATAAACAAATTTTATTGACTCTAATTGTGAAGAAGTAAGGAGTATCAGTACACAGTCGGTGAATGATATTACGATACCTTCATCCGCAGGTCAATGTCCTCCCGCCGGCTCCAATAGTTCTGTACGAGGCGCTTGTTGTTCAAGAACTGAGCATTGTCTATAGTTTTGTAGTTCTCATCCAATATCGAGAATAACTCGGTAAACAGAGGCTTTTCTCCTTCTGTAAGTCATGACAAAAAAAATACAAATATAAAAACGTTTCAATTAAAAAACCAATATTTTTATAGATAACTCAAATTCTAGGTAAGCAAGTGGTAGAAGATCCCCACTATACCTAAATATGATATTTCATTTGCGTCGAGTAAAACTTTGTTTGTGAATATGCGCATTATAATGTAAATTCCAAGTTTTGCTGAATGAGGCAATTTTTAAAATCACAAAAGTTTAAAACATTTCCAAATAAATTTTGCCATCTGGCAACATAATTGTTACTCATCTGTGTTCATAAATGGCGCTGATCAACAAATCGTATCGATCTATCTACTTGTTTTTTGTCGCCTATCCCATTAAAATAATAACAAAATACCTTTGGTAACATTAGCAGGTATATGCACGGTGATGGGGTCCAGCCCAGAGTCCTCCAGGTAGTCATTGGTGAACATGCTCAGGTACAAGGAGTCCACCTCTGTTCTATACTCGAGTAGCGGCTTCAAGTTCTCATTGGGGTTGTAGGGTACAGTCAATTGGATTACTGTCCATTCTGGAATTAAATATATGTTGTATGAGGTGACAGGTAGAATAATACATATTCACCTTATAATCTATACTAATATTATAAGCTGAAGAGGTTGTTTTTTGAACGCGCTAATCTCCGAAACTACTAGTCCAAATAGAAAAAAATCTGTTGTGTTGACTGCACGGTTGACACTGTGGCTAGGCAACTGGCTAGCTGCTGTTTAATGTGTCGAGGGTTCGATTTACACTTTGTTGTATCCATAAATTATTGTTTCGGGTCTGGGTCTGATGGGTATGTGAAATTATATGTTTGTTAACGCACCCACGACGCAGGAGAAAATCCAAGTGTGGTGCAACATTTTAAATAAATGTTTTTCCGTTCGTTATCCTTTTATCGAGGAAGGCTAAAGGCTATAAAACATCACGCTACGACTTACAGGAGCGGCCGTGCAGCGAGACAAACCGCGTGAGAATAGCTAGCTACTCTAAGGGTGAGTTGCACTATTTAACTTTAACCAAACCATAACCATAGGAAGCCATGAAACGGCGTCCTATTGGTCAGTTCGACGATTTGACAGCTGATAACGGCTATTTTATCGTTAAAGTTAAATGGTGCAAGTCACCCTAAGTCTAAACGAAACAAAATGAATGGTGACCTAAATTCATTCACCACTGCAACATCAACATACATATATCATAGATACTATAAATAAAAATGAAACATCGAAATATTTGTACGACGACGCCCAACTCCAGAATGACTGCAACGAAATGAATAATTCCTTTTTTTAACCCATTAGTCATAGTCAGGTTCGTATGAATGAAAACCAGTCATCGTTCCCGGAAGATTTGGGGCTGATCTCTAATCTATAATAATAATATTAGCAAAGGTAAAGATTTGATGTTTAGTATCGAATAAGCTTTATAACTACAACTTGTTCAAGAGTGAGAGTCATATTTTAGCACGAATGGACCAGTTCGACCAGAGTGATACCACGGCCCCAAAGAAAACCGGCGTGAAACAACGCCTGCGTTGCGTTTTGCCGTGTGAGTGCGGTTACCAATACCGATAATTTTAGATAAAAACAGAAGACCATTTGATCCAGATTTCCTATAGGATTGACATCTACCTGACAGAGTATACCGTGCAGATAGACTGCACGGTTGGCGCGGTGGTTGGGCAACTAGCTGGCGCGCAACGTGTCGCGGGTTCGATTCCCGCACGGAACAACTCTTTGTGTGATCCACAGATTGTTGTTCCGGGTTTGGATGTGATGTGCATGTGAAATTGTATGTTTGTAAACGCACCCACGACACAGGAGGAAATCTTAGGGAACGTTATTTAAAAAAAAAATTTAAACTCCTTGTCGGTAAATCCGCGAGCTAAAAGCTTTTCAAAGTCAAAAATCATTTATTTCAATTAGACCACAGTAGGCACTTTTGAACGCAAGCTAAAAAGGAAAAAAGTATATAACATGAGCTTTAAAATTAAGCATGTCAGTCTGTCCGTCTGTCCTCTAGTGAAGCTATTTGCTCGTTCCAAAGTGTAGATTCCTATGGAGAAGAACGAGCAAGAAACTCCATGGTTACTCTTTTTCAATCAGTTTTACAATACATTTCTTTGTTACATCATTTAGTTGGTTCTGATATGTGAGAACAATGTAACACTAATGTTCAGGCAAAAGGTACGAAAAAGAAGTGAACCTCAAGGACAACATATTTAGACAGCCTGGAGATGACCAGTCCCAATAGGCGGCGCCCGTTCACGAACATGACACGTACACCAGCACCGCCCAACTCAACCATATTATAGGGAATTGGGCGATCCAGTGGCCGTGCCACCGCCAATGAGACCTCTAAGTGAGCATGACAGCTCCCAGCCGACACAAGTACCTATATTCTACAAGTCTTACTTAATTATAATAGCTAATACCATATCTATACTAATATTATTAAGAAGTAAAAATTGGAAGGTTGTATTTAAGGGTAATCTTTGGAATGGCTAAAATTTTTTCACTGATAGACAGCTACAATCTACAATGTTTCTGAGTGCTATTGCCAACAAAACATCACCCAAAAACCAATAGGGGAAGAGCAGCGGGTGAAACCGCGCGGCAGTGGCTAGTCTACATATAATTTAAAAGATTACCTCTAGGTAATTCTTTCAGGATCTTCCGAAAGTTATCAATGTTGTTCTCCTTGGAGAAATGAAGATATCTCTTGTGGAATGGGACCTCCTTTTCTATTGTTAGAGTTTTCAATACATCGCTTATGTTATCTGTACCACCTGATAGTAGATCTATGAGCTTCTTCTCTTTCTTTGGTCTGAAAACGTAAAGTTTATATATATATTATACACATTAACATACACATTTTATAGACGGTTGGTAGTATTAAGTAAAGTGTGGGAGAGCCATGCTTCGGCACAAATTCACGGCCACACAGAACGCCAATGTGTAACAGGCACAGCGTTGTCTTTCGCCGTATGAGTGAGATTACTCGAGGCCCTTCCTCTCGAATAGAAATTTCCCACCCATCCATTAGTGACATGTTTTTTTTTGATAATGTTTTTATATTAAGAATATTAGAAAAATGTTATTAAAATCAATGTATATGTAAGTGTAATTATTTTTGCATATTGACTACATGGTTAATGCGGTGTAAATTGCTTTTTGGTGCCCAAGTGTGATTTGTATGTTGTAAAGTAAACACACCCACAACAACGGACATCATCCTAGTGTGGGGCAACATTTACGAAAAGAAAAAATAAATTGCATTGACATGTAGACCAAGTGAACAACTAAGTTATAAATCTATGTTAACATTAGTATATTGATGATTGATCTTAAACAATTGAATGCCGAGTCAATGACTTTTAACAAAAGAAATACTTACATAATATTAGCGTCTATCACATGTTGGACAGGTTCTATGTAGCTTGTGATCTTGTGTAATTTGTTTCCTGAAACATTGCGAAAAAAAAAATTGTTATTTAAAAAAAAATATGTGTCAAATTGAGAACCTCCTCCTTTTTTGAAGTCGATTAAAAATACTTGGTAGGAGCATGTAGGGTATCTTATATGAATCTTGTCATTAGACTTCTGTAACATATTATCTACATTGTTAAGAAATAATGATCATATTTTCTTCGTTGACCCTTTTATTTTAAGATTATCTTAACAGACAAAAAAATAAGAATAAGACGGAATGAATTATGATATATCTATACTAATATTATAGAGGTAAAATTTGTAAGTTTGTAAGTCTGTATGTAGCTATAGGCTAAAAAACATCGCGCTACTATTAAAGGGAGTCAAGCAGTGGGTAAAAACGCGTGAGAGTGGCTAGTTTAATATATAATAATCATTTATTTTTTATTGAGAGTCTTTTTAAACAACTGTGGACAAAAGATCTGGATTAGGTCAACTTTCAGTCTTTAGTAAATTGTCTTGCTAGGTGTAGTATGGTACGGTACCATACTGGGTGTAGTATGGTATTTTGACAAAGTTTATGGGAATAGTTTCACCGCCTATTGCTTGCAACTAAATTTGTTAAATACAGCCTGTATTTAACAGTAATTAAAACTGCTCTAAAACATATTTTATGAAATAAAAATATGGTAGACCTGATAATAATCTATGAGCTCAATTGCATTCCAATTACTTCAGTTGTTTTAATGCAAAATGATAACAAACAGCCACCCATACATGAGCCTATGATAAAACAAATATATATATAACAATGGTATTTCTTGACATACTTCATTTTTGCCATTCAGAATAGGTAAACATACCAGCTGCCTTGAGTTGTTCATCTCTATATACAGCCATGGTTCTCAATGATGCAGAAGCTGCCTCACTCAAATGGAATGCGCAGCCGATGTCATCATTACTGGCTAGACATTCTTCCGCCATAAGTTTCCTACCACCTTGAAAAGAGAATAATTTATCACAACTTTACACATCATAAAATAATGAAACAAAAGCCTTTTGTATTTAAAACTATTCATAAATTACTCCACTATTGTTTATTTCGCTCCTAATAGAAATAAAACTTCACTGGGAAATGAAAATAAAAGGATATTTGCCATAAATTGTTTAAAAACTTACTTTGATAATTCGGCCCGTTAGGAGTTGGAGGCGCATCATTAACATATTTATTTAATATGTTTTTGAACAAAGGTTTAGTAAAGTTAATTTCATTTGTGAATACGTCGAAATCTTCCATGTTCTACGACACTTTCTGTTCACTTTTATAAAAGTTCAAATCTTCGTAAAATGTTTACATTAAATTCAAATTGATAGATTTTGACATAACGAACGGCAGTTTCAAACTTGTGTGATGCTTGCCTTCTCTTTCTCTCATTAGAAGTCGACAGGGACACAAGATAAACTCTTGCTAAAAATGAAGATTAATCTTACATAGAACACTTCACACTGAAATCCGTTTTATACAGTCGTTCCGTTTTACTAAAGTTACTAATGGAATATTTTGATTCTGACAAAAAACCAAATAATGTTCTTATAAGAAGACAAAACGGTACGTGTTATTTTTATAATTTGTTCTAATTAATAGATAACTGATAATTTATAACGAAAATGATGCATCATCAATTCAAGAAATGCGTGCTGACTAATTCATTACAATTATCTTGTATGGATGTCTGTCGAACTTTCTACTCACGGTATAATGAGCTACGAACATAAGAATATTAATAGGATATGTAGGGTAGGCAGCAAGCTCCATTGGTATTCTATGTTTTAATATTCAAACAGCATTCTTATGTTGTGTTGCTTAATGCATACAGCGACAAACCTATAATACTGTTATGTATTAAACTACAAAATATTTACAGATATATACCTACTGCACAGTTTGGGCGAATGGCTACTACTCAACGTGTTGCGGAATCAATTCTCGTACACAATAATACGGTAGTCAAATTCAACACTTTTACCGAATTGAATTGTTTCTATGAATCGTGTATGAAATCAACTAGACATGACTGAATGTTTTACATTCTCCAAAAAAAATGCTAAAATATTAAGCTTGGGTATATTATTACATTTCAATCATTTAGTAGAAAACTACCCAATTTTATGTCTTCCACAAACTTATTATTCCGGGTCTGCGTGTTTGCTTTTTATTTTAAATATTCAATAGTTATGATAGATCATTGGAATTGAGATGAGGTTCGTTTGGTGGCGTTATATAATACATTCATGAGGACACCTGTCTGTTTTATTAAGTAATGCGCAGTAAATAATAAACCAGTTTTCTATGTTATAACTAGGACATGCTATGATGATAACAAAGAATTTTTAATTGCCAAAGTGCCTCTGCATTAATTAGGCAATGCTATAAAATGAAGTAGACTAGATATTTATTAGTTTAAAAGGGCTCAAGGTAAGATTTTTATAAGTACATTAAAAGACCACAAGTATTTTACAACTTTTATTTCAAAATAAACATAAACAATGCGCAAATTAGTTAACCGTCAATTTGCCACATTACAATATTACCGACTTTCACGCCGTAAGCAATTATACTCTTGGTAAGTAGGGTAAAATAAAAGTTTCTAAACATTTTTAAGTTAAATATAACTGAAAGGTTACACTTATATTGACTAACAAAAATGCTCCTTAAAAATAGTACAAAAAATATTAGTGGCACTGATAAACATTCTACAAAACCATACAAAATGTGTAGCCGAACGCAGAATATTTTCGTAAATTGTGCAAATATAAGGCACAAAAATGTATAAATTTAATAGCCGAACAACAAATATGGCCGAAAAACTTTAATACAATTCATTATGCTTATATCAAAAAGTGCCCATTAATATTATTACTGATATAAATAAAGAGGTAAACTTGAGTATAAGAGACGGAAATGCAAACAGTGGACATTGTTTGCACCTACTGACAACTCGAACACGTTAGGGTTACTATTAAAAAAAATAAAGGATACAATACTGATGAATAATACATGAGTGTCTAAAAAATACATAAAGTAATACAGTAAACTTATGAGGCTCAACAACGAGTCATCTGTCGGCAAGAGGCAACGAAATTTCGCCTTAAGCATGGCGTATTTATTATTAAAAAATACCAAAAACATGGGCCATAGATATTAGTTTATTTTACGCGTAAGTGCATACCACCGGGTATCATGACCCAATTGCTAAGCCTCATGTAAACAAAGATAATATGCTAAACTGTAAACATGCCGCGAATCAGTTTCATAAAACTAAATGCTATGCAAAATAGCATTACACAATCAGGTAAATCTTATAAATTCATTACCGTATAACACAAAACAATTGACTTTTAATAGGATATGTTATTTTTATTATGCTGCTACATATAACAAAATTTTCCTAAACATATTATTTATTTTTATCACATATGATTATTGCGTAGGTACAGTCAAAGTTTTGCAACTAGTGCAGGAAATCTGTTTTCGCGGCACGCCCACAGCGGCACTCAGTTTTTGTTCAACGTAGAAAAAAGTACTAAACAAAGCAAACAGTTTTGCTATAGTAATTTAAGCAAAAAGCGTTTAAAATATCACTTAATTTTTAACACATTTCTACTTAACGATAACACAAAAATAAACTATTCGAATGAATTCAACATGTTTAGAAATATTTTCGTTATCTATCAAGATATTTTCGTAAATCACATAGGAAGTTTGAAGACGAAAACTTTAATAAATTCTGAGAACTACGTACCTATCTAGTTAGTGTTTCCGTGGTAAGTTTAGTTCATTATATAAATCTTGTATACCAAAGTGTTATTCACAAACAACAAATATCATACTAAACTTTGTGTTACTGAATAACTACTAAATATTATGTATAAAACCTACAAATTCATAAATATTAATTGAATACAAAGGCATTCGTCGATATGACTCGAAGGCACATTTTTCAAAACAAAAGTTAGGATTTAACCTTCGCGGTTCTCCATCACACGTACGTTATAAAGTTAATTTGCATGTCTACGTAACAAACGCAATCTACCGCATGTCTCTATAACATTCTACGTGAAATAAAGTTTTAATTGATTTCTCCAAGCACCTCAACTACTATAAATACATCTTTCAATAACGCTAACCCTATACCATACCACTTTTTAATAATATTAAACGTGATTAATTAACTACTAGTAAATCTAACGTTTTATAAATATTTTACATTATAATAAAAAAAAAAACTTTATTGTATACACCTATTATTGCCCTCTTCGATACACATTAATTAGTGTCGAGTCTCTACGAAACATTAGCGTATAAATAAATAAATAGGTATATACACTTGACTTACTAAAGATAACGGAAAGACGCTCGATCATATCGTGATTCGCAAGATTGAAGATTATGCATGCTTATCAACATTTATCTTATTTACAAATTCAGTGTAGATCGAGAAAAAAGGCCTTGAAATCTATCACATATAAGTTTGGGATACTTAACAGGCAATAGCCAACATAAAAGAAACTACTGCAAACTTGATAAACAGCAAATACTGTCATTTCCAGATGAAGGAATTAAGTAGCCGTTGTATTATGCGAATTACTGTTGCATTTATTCGAGTGTACGCGTCCGTCTTCGCTCAAATGAACATATAGCGTAGGCGTTTATACACTTGGCAATGCACGACCTCACAACACGCTTAATTTATTCTATCTCGCACAATCGCACCGGTATCATACCCCCGCAAAACTAGTTCAAATTAATAAGTGTTCAAGATGCGTGGGGCCGGACGAAATATCATAAAACTTAAAAATATATAAAATGATCACATACATAAACAGTTCCGAAAACTAAACTGTGGCACCCAGAAAATGGAAGTACAATAACAATCTGAGTGTCGATCAAGACATGTTGTTGATGCCCACTCTTTTGCTCAAAGGAGTTGCATCGAGGATCCTTTCGTTTGCTTTGTCTTCCTCCCTGAAGTGAATCCGCGTGATCACAATGTCCCCTGTACTGAGAGTTTGTGAACCAACCTCCGTTTTCTTAGTTTCATTGAGATCATTGCACTTGACTTCATCAGAATTGGAATTATGGCATCTGCAACTACAGCTTTTCTTATCAGGCTCTCCTAAGTTCAAAATTTGGCTTAGATTGGACCAATCCTTATTTTTGAGCAATGGCAGTGTCTGTTCCATTGTTTGTGAGAACTTATCCTCCAACTCACCACTTAGAGGGGCGACCGCCGACAGTATGGCTTCGAGACGGTTAATTTTCTCAACTTTATCCATGTTTGTGTCTGACAGTATTTCATCCATCATTTGCATAGATTCTGTGAGACTTGGAGGTTGTGTCGAGTGTGGTGATGATATCGGGTCAGATGGGTTAGATTCCAGGCTGGCCATTTCATTTTCTCTTTCATCATCATCAGAGTCAGAATCCTTATCATGTCCAATAGCTTCAAGTTTCTCCAATTTCTTGGATATTTTGTGACAACCTTTCAATTTTTCTTTTTCCTCTTCAGTGAGCTCAATGTACCTGAGAAGTCTGATCTCTCGGTTGCTCAGCACAATATTCTTGGTTGTCTCAGCCAGTTTTTGCTTCAATTCACCAACTTCCGTATTAATTTTTCTTTGTCTTTTTCGCAACTTAACTTCAGTTGGTTGGATATGCATGAAAACTTGTTCATTGCTGAGTTCTTCGAACAGTTGTTGGTTCTCTGGCTTAATGTTACTGGACATGTATGCATAAATAGCTGGATTTACTAAGGACAAGACATCAGAGGCAGAGTAAATGATCATATCTTTTGTCAATGGTCTCCTTGCCCAATAACGTTGGTCCCGGCGGTACACATTTTTCAATTGTTCTTTCATGGGATTCATAGGAGCATTGTACAATTCACATAAAGCATTGAGACTTAAATTCTTCACTTTATAAACAGGCACACCCTGTTGCTGTAACTGTAGCACAGCATGCGCTGCTTGTGTGTCAAAAACATTCTTCAAAACAATCTCAAATTGATTGTGTAAATTGACTGAATCATTTCTACAGTCATGTATAATTTTAACTACATTTTCACTCTCTAATAGTTCCTTAATTTTACCCTCCACAACCATGCCTGGACATGCCATTATATCTAGTATGTACACTTCGCCATTCATGGTGGCTATTTGACACAATGTCAACACTCCTTTGAGGCCAAGGTTTATACCTTCACAATCAAATGAGACAATGTTCTTAGCATTACGTTTAGGTACCATAATGCTTTCAATTAGTGTAGCACATTCCCTGACATTAGCTATGACAGTTGTGCACTGCAGCACCTTCTGACGCCAAGCCTCACCCATTAAATTATTCCTTAAACTTGGAGTTCCATTTGTTTCCTCAGCACTTCGAGCATTCAAATGATTGTTGACTCTGTCACGAACCATGTTTTCTGCCAAATTTTTTATGACAATAGAATTGATCCTCTGTTTAAGAGTCTGGTTGGCAATATTAGCTTGTGGTCCTCGGGGAGATTCTATAGGACTGAGTATTCTGTTGTTTGCCGGACTCTTTTTTCCATCTGATGGAGTGGGACTCTCTACTGGAGGGGGAATCGGGGATATGGGTTTCTCCTCAACCACAGGCTTTGGTACATCAGTCTTTGCTTTTGTTTTTGCATTAAGATACATAACAGGTATTTTTGGTTTACTAATTAGTGTGACCAAGTTTGATTGAACATGGAATGAATCTGAAAATATCTTTAAGAATGCGCTCAAATCAGCGGGAGACTTGAACATCTGATACCAATATTCTTGTGGAAAACGTGATACAATTAAATGGAAGAGCTGGTCTACCATTACAGGCCCTTTGGCCTCTATGCACTGTGCAACATAATCTAACAACTGTTGGGCAGTGTCTGTGTTAATATTAGCTACGGGTAAATTGTGGAATTGTTCAGAATTTGTGTGTGCGTTACCTCTCCTATGATTCTCACTGACTAGAACGACGTTGTCATCGATGATCTGGAAGGTGTCCGGGTGCTTCAGGAGGAAGTCCTTGAACTCCTTGATCCTTTGACCGGAGATGTGACGCACCTGAGGGGAGGCCTGGCTCCTGTGCCCTAGGAGGCTTTTGATTGGCACCTCTGTGCCCTCGCCGTACTGGACCATCTTGCCCGCGAAGTACTCCTTCGCTTCTTCGATGTAGTCGTTGTTGGACGAGGCGCCAGCCCCACAAGGATGCTTCTGGAACGTGTTGATATCAACATAGTCCCCGTCTATGCTGAACAACGCCGGGTATTGAGCCAGGAACTTCTTCAATCCCGACTGCGACCCGCCAGCAATCTGTCGCATCTCCTTGGTGAATCCTTTGGCACCAAACTGGCAGGAAAGATCGTGCAACGTGCGCGGCTCGCCTTTGTCGAGCAGGCGTTCCACAAAGAACAACAGAGTAAGGTTCCTAGCGAGCTCATATTCCATTGATTCCATTTCCCTGCAGTTGGTGCCAATGTGTTTAACTTAAACTAAATTTTTTCTACGTATATGTGTCACCCACAACACCATGAAATTTTTCTTTTCTATCCGCACCTGTACCATAGACTAAAGATGAAAGTGAAGTGCTGATAGATAACTAATAGATACCAAAACAAACTACTAAGTTCGTGACGTTTTAATGAAATCGATATAAATTACGTAATATTAATTGAAATATAACTTTATCGACTTCTAGCAATCTTGATTACACCTATGTGTTTGATAGTTGACATGAATCAGTAATTAGAGTATATTTTTACGGTTAGATGTACATACATTAGATGTACATATTCACATGAATAATGTAATCGATGCTGTATAACATTATATTTATTCTCTTTGGCTTCAGTTTTACTAAATTTTTTCAATGTTTAGAATTGTAACATAAGTTTATATTTTTTTAGTTAACTATTAAAAACTAATATTTTCATTAACATCACTCTGGCATAGAGTAGGTGGCCTGCTTTTTCTTAACGGTACAAATGCATGATGAAGATGACAAAACTTTACGCTTATTTTGAAGCAGAATCACGTTTATGTTAATATTAATTCATTCTTCCCACTCCTTATTCTTCAGTATTTCTTAATATTTTTATTAAGATGTGTTTAGCTAGTCTATCTAAAAACAGACTGTTAACCATATTTCTGAACGTTACCTATAAATGTCAATGTGACAACCGAACCGATTTGTCTGATTGTGTGGTGTTTCGTGTTTTCTGGTTTCTAGTTGCTGTAATCAGTTATAATTAGTGTTATTTCTTTTCAGCCATATTTCCACGAATCGTAATTAGTGCAACGCCGTGAATAACGGTTTTCTATAACCATATCCTATAATAACAACATCATGGTAAGCTGTTTTTATCAGCATTTGTTAACACGGAAACTAAGACACCCACTTTTTAATTGAATAGATGTTTTGTTGGTATGTACAGAGTTCAGATTGACACCCGGTCCTTAGAAACTATGATTCAAAATAGTTTATTCATGCAAATGGTGTAAAGGGGCTTCTAGTTAAACATTAGTCAGTCAAAAAATGGTAATCAGGAGATTCTGAGTAATCATTCATGTACAGTTCTTACTGCATTAGTCCTTTACTCTTAGGATTACGCAGTTCAGATAGCAATATAAGTTTTTTATATAATTGTTTCAGTTGGTACTAGTTCTTGGTGATTTGCATATCCCTCATCGCTGCAGCAGTTTGCCTTTTAAGTTCAAGAAGTTGCTGTTACCAGGCAGAATACAACATATTTTATGTACCGGCAATCTTTGCACAAAGGAGTCCTATGATTATTTGAAGACTTTAGCCAGTGATGTGCATGTTGTTAGAGGAGATTTTGATGAGGTTTGTTAATACACATAATTTACTACACCAGTATGAGCACTGTGTAGATACCTACATTTGTTATTGTGAATAATTTGATTACTAATAGAGTTTTAAGTAAGAAGACCAAAATTGTTTTAATTAGGTTTTTTTTATGTAGTAGCTCTGCAAACAAGCAAGCCACCTGATGTTGAGCACTAAGCACCAACATGCACATTAGCACCTGCAAAATCAAGGTTAAGGTTTTGAGGTTTCAGGATGGAAGAAGTATTAGGCACCCGGGAACCTCACTTTCATATCGAAACAAGCCAGCATTTAAATTAATATTGTTTCCATATCCATCTACAGTTGTAATCAAATCAACTTTTCTCTATCATATTTTTATTACATGTGTATTCACCATATCATTTACATGTTACATTAGATAAAGGTTTTCAAAACTTAAAAATAAAGCAGTCAGCATTTCAATAAATTCAGTTTAAATTCAGTAAGTTTTTAACATGTATAAAACATTGATTGCAGATTTCAACATATCCAGAGCAGAAGGTGATTACTGTAGGCCAGTTCCGTATTGGCCTCATTCACGGTCACCAAATAGTGCCGTGGGGTGACGAAGAGTCCCTCGCACTTGTGCAGAGGCAGCTAGATGTGGACATCCTCATATCTGGCCACACACATCGGTTTGAGGCTTACGAACATGAGAATAAGTTCTATATCAATCCGGGATCTGCTACTGGAGCCTTCACACCGCTATTCCAGTAATATTCCATTCATTATATCATATATCTTTCTATTTCTTTATACCAATGAACTTAGAAGATTCTGTTGATAGTACTTTTTTTTTCTTTCTTGTTGTCGACTATACTGCCAGTGTCAAGTAGTGATTATTAAACTGAACAATTTATTTCTTTGGTTGGTTTAATGTTCTAATGTTATTCCAATTGGAAAATTCTTTATGTGTTCTATAGCTCATTTATTGATTGAAGTAATAAAACATAAAAAGTGTAGGAGTATGGATTCCTGTAAATATTTAAAGTGTTTGTTGTGTAATTCTTTTGGTTTGTATGGCGAATATTTAAGGTTATGAAGGTGCTTTGTACTCCTGCCGCCTTAGAACAAATCACATGTAGAAATGGCGCATTATTGCCTAAATTCTATTTCACCATTAATTTTTATTCTTAGTCATAGGTACTTTAAATGTTCGCATTGCATATTACAACTTATCTTTTTTATTTGTTATTTGCTTATGATGTTTCGGCAGGTGTAAAACAAATAAAAAAGGTACGTGCGCATTAAATCCCGTGATACAGTATTATTCTTATTCAGATGTTTATCCGTAATTTCACAGATTTTTCAATATTACTATAGGTGCCAAAATTATTTCTGTATCTTGTATTTATATTGTTTTTTTTTGTTACAGGGACACAATCCCATCATTTGTGTTGATGGACATCCAAAGTTCGACAGTGGTGACATATGTATACAAACTGCTTGGAGATGAGGTCAAAGTAGAAAGGATTGAATACAAAAAAGCCTAACTATAAAATGTGTTTTTGTAAAATAGTTGTAATTAATTATTATAAAGAGTTTATTTTTAATTATACTTAATATAGTATTCAAACTACGATGTATTCGCCAGTATGTTTGTTTTATACCGATTATAAAGCTGTAAGTGATAAGACGATTTTGCCATTAACGACTTGCACGCCATCTACAATGTAATTTATAAATGTACAATAGATTTTAAACCTTTAATGCTTGTAAGTCGAATTTTTATCGGTCTTGAGATCGACCCCCGAAACTAGATTTACAAAGCAGTTTTTATTATAATCACGTGTCTCTATCTATTATTATTTGTAAATTTTCATAGATCTGTAATCTGTATGTGGATTTGGAAGATGGGTTTTAATTTTAAATAACTTTTATTTGCTGTAAAATAAACATTAGGTACGTCATTCATTTGAATTCCCGAAGCGATAAGTAGACGGATACAAATACTATAAATAATTGTAATTTTGGACCGGTTAGGTCAAATATTGATGGTACCTCCATCGGGGATTAAAAGTTATAAGAGAAACCGAATTTTGGTTAAAAAAAATAATAGTCTGGCTGCTGTCTTTATTTATAAAAACTATGGCGCGATACTCGCCGTAAAGCGATTAAGCGTGTAAGCGCGCTTAAATTGCGCGCGTAAGCGTTTCATCCAAATTATTAACTTGTGTATGTAAAGTTATGATATATGTATCGTTGAATAGTAAACAGCAATAGCAGCATATACCTATTAATAAAATATTTTTATGTTTTTGAGCATGTTTTATTGATTGATTTGTCTCTATTTTATTTCTACTCAAACCAATTTTTTAGACGGCATGTTTTTTTTTGTGAGGGGAAAATCATCAAATTACTTCTCCCGCCCAGGGTCGGTCGGAGGGAGTGTCAGACTCTTACTGACTAAAAAAACCCCTCGTTCCTTCTCCTGCTCTGGGCCTAGGTCGCGGTGCCTCATTGCGCTTACCCCGCAACCCCGGCTGAACATTTGCCCTATAGGGCCCCGTCTGTAGTGGTCTATTGAGGCGCGCGCGGAACGCTACGTGCCATACGCTTGGGTCTGGTTCTGGTCGGGCGGCGAGCTACCCGTACTCACCGTCCGGAGACCCGCGCTTTCGGTGGACGGAGACCGTCTCTTGATCTTTAGTCGGCATGTAAATATCCTTATGTTACGCAATCAGCACAGCCTGTGCACACACGCACTTCGCTCGTGAAACAAATAAAAGTAGATTGATACGATTCAAGTCTAAAAAATGGCATAAATAGTATAATAATATAATAGCACAATCGCCTCTGTGGTATGAAAGAAAAAGGTAACAAGACATGCCTAGGCATTTTTAAAGTTCTATGTTGGCTCAAGTGTTAGAATGTAATAGACTACCACGAAGACGACACCAATAGCCTTTGTTTGTCGCTTCTTATTACAACACCTGCCTGCACAGTCTGTACACCCAATATCGTGAACCTCTTGTAGGTAAGTAGCTACCTTCCTAGTGGACACAATCAAAAATTTAATATGTTGACTTAACAATAAAATTAATTAAGTGTTAAAATATAATCATATTTTCATTCATTGATCTATTTGACGATAAACATACTTAGGTACCTACTCTTTTGTTGAGCAAAGTCATCAAATGACTTCTCTCGGCCAGTATGTGCTACTTACATGTATTTCTAATTACGAAATGGTTTTAATCTGTCGTTTTGCTTGGTGGAGTTGAGCGAGTGAGGGGGTAGAAACGGGACTCCAAAATCCTTCCGCTGTTTAGACCACGATAAAATCGTATCGTTAGATTTTAAAATGCAATTTGTCTTCCCTTTTTTTTGACAGGGAAAATCATCAAATTACTTCTCCCACCCAGGGTGAGAGGGAATTTCCAACTCTTACTGACTAAAAACCCCCGTTCCCCCTCCTGTCTTAGGCTGAGGCCCCGGTGCCTCATTGCTCTTACCTTGCTTCTCCCACATCAGCCATGTAAGGACCCGTTAGTGGCAGTCTAGCGTGCCCAGCCCTCGGTTGCAACAGACCTTGCTTCCACTCTGCCATATGATCGCACCGGTGCGCGTGTTTGCGCGCAATCTGCGGGAGGGAGCGTCTTTACTTCCAGATTTTATGGCGATGATCCGGCAAAGAGGTTCACCACCTCCCCGGTACTTTAAGCTGGCTCACTGTAGATTTTTTGTTAGATTTTTTCATAATAATTTATTGTTCTATCTAAATTGGGTAGATACCTCCCTACACGGGAACTACATAGGTAGGTATATCTATTCCCAATATATTAATCTGACGCCCTCAAGTGCTTACCGGAATCCTTACTTGTTAGTAAGGTAGGTACTTAGTTATTATAGAAAAATCGAAAAAAAAAACTACTTAACTCGAGAATCGCACCTAAGACCTTGTTGCAGTCACACAGTCGCACTTCTGTCTCTTCGAAATACCTAGATGCAGACAAAATATGTAGATAACTATTATAAAAATGTACATAATAATATAGGTGATTTTGCCTATACTTTTGATAAGAACACTTATTAAATATTAACAATGAAACTGAACGCACAGAGTTTTAAGGTCAATTTTAAAAACAAAACATTAGGTAATTAAACAATAGGTACTTGCAAGTACCGACACGGCTACAATCTGAAAATACTCTTAATCTTCAAACATAACATCTTAAAATTGCATGAAAACATAAAGTAGAAACTGCATTCATACTTAGTTGAAAAAAGATCTTAAAGATCATTGACCTCCGGTTACGTAGGTTAGGTAGGTATGTTGCTAGAGTTGAAATATGTATCTAATTGCTATAATGTCACATTATCGAAAATTCTCATTCAAAGGTTACAATATTGAATTGATGTGTTTAACATTAATTATTACTTAATCAATAATTTATAGATAAAAATATTACAAAAAAACAAAAAAATGGACGTGAACATTTCAAAAATTTTAGCTGACAAAGGAATGGATTCCAATAGCTCTTTGCTGTGAAGATGTGCTTGCCGACGATTATGAATCTTCTTACTCTTGAAGTCTGTTAAAAATTTACCACAAAATGTGTTTACATCATGTAAACAACAAAAAGGCTTTTTTGTGAGGGGAAAACCATCCAGCCATCCAATGCCTTCTCCCAAGGCCAAGGCCTCCAAGGCCCAGACAAGAGTCTGACACTCCCTCTCTGACAAAACCACAAAACCCCCCGTCCCGGCCGCGGCGCCTTATTAGGCTTGCCCCGCAACCCCGTCTGAAACAGTAGAAAGGCTAGGCCGATTTTTAACAGACCGCAGCGAAGCGGATATTAATGGTATTATTTTGAAATATTTGTAGGTATGCATTTATTTATTTATTAATTACTGCATGCATTGCATTTGACAAATATCTAGGTACTGAATATATTAGGACAAGAAATTTGTGCGATGCTAATAGTAGCCTTTACTTTTTTTATTAAAACGTTACCACACTCTACAATTTTCTCCTGCGTCGTGCATGCATTAACAAGCGTAGGTACCTACTACAATTTTACAGACCTAGAACAATTTGTGTTTCACACAAAAAGTTGTTCCGGATTGAACCCGCGAGGCGTTGCTCGGCAGCCAGTTGCTCAGTTACCGCGATAATCGTGCAGTCAATATAAGCTTACTATTCAAATGAAGGTTTTATAAAACAAAATCACAAATAAACAAATCAAACTCAAGTCACGTAGCGAACAAAACAAAAGAAGAATTATCGACTTCGATACAGCCGTTCAGGAGTTGCGTGTACACAAACATTTCGGAGAAACAAATATTTAGTTTACAAACATGTTTACGTGAGACTTGCCACGCTATAATATCGAAGAATAAATCACGATAATTATGTAAATAAGGAAAAAATGAAATGTGTGTCATTATCGTAAACAATAATATTTACTAATTAGGTAATGTAATTAACCCAAATTGCAATAGCTGTGTCTACGTGGTGGACAGTGCGTACGGACGATGCGCACGGACTTATACGTACGGTAAAGGTCTTTTCATATTGAACAGTTTTAAGTGTTATTTAGTATAATATCATGTACGTCATAGTGGGCAGGAGGTTTTAAGTTTAGGTTTTCTTAAAGGCTGATGATGATGAGAATATCCATAGGTATAATCGACTTTATTTTCTTTGGTGTAGGGGATACAATGAATCATAATAATTATAGACATTAACTGTTCATTACTTCAAAAAAAATTCTTACACCTGGATATTCATTTCGAGTTGTTTTAGTATTATACCTGATGGTAAGCAATCGGTGCTACCCATGGACACATTGGACACTCGCAACACCACCACCTCCCCTTTTGGGGAGTATTTGCCTCGGACAATTTCATCTACGCTGCGAAACACAACGCTGTAGTTGTTCTACGCCGGTTTTCTGAGAAGCATCTTTAACGTCATTCGTGCGAAGCGTGGCTTTCCCACCCTATAGTCATGTACCTATATATTAAACCCTTGAGGATGTAAAAACAATTCAAATTCTCAATTGGTTAGCAAGAAAATTGGAATTGTTATTAAAGTATGGCATTGGGCTAAGCTCTTATTAAATAAGATGAAATTAAGAGTATTATGTAAATAAATACAAAATAACAGTATTTTTAAATAACTAGTTAAAAGTTATCTACTACGCGATTGTGACAGAATGCGGATTGGTTTGAGCCTTTTTTAACCCCGACGCAAAAAGAGGGGTGTTATAAGTTTGACGTGTCTGTCTGTCTGTGGCACCATAGCTAATTTTTTATTTTGTATAACATGTGTTTTACGGGCAAGTGATCTTACACATTTTTGATGAAAATCGATTGAGCCTTTTAAAAGTTATGGGGGGTTAAAGTGGGGAAGAAAAACCGAATGTCTGCAAATATGCACAAGTGGGGTATCAAATGAAAGGTTATGACTTGCACGTCACAAAGACCAAAAATTTTAATAAGTTTGACGTGTCTGTCTGTGTGTCTGTGGCATCCTTAGGTCCTGTAGCTTATGCTCTTGTGTCGGGGTGTTTTTAAATTTTTAAATTTATATGTATCTTGTTTGTGTTGAACCACCCCGTTCCTACTCCTGTTTCGTGTTTCGGGCCGGTTGTTCTTGAATTCGTAGCTTCACTTGGACATCACCTCTATTGGGCTCCATCTATGATGGTCAGGATGGCTGTGTGAGGCGCGCGCAGAACGTGCGTGACGCGTCACACGCTCGGGATAATTTGAGGTTTAATAAACTGCTTTTTTTAATCCTCCTTTGTAAACTCAGCCTAATAATCTTTTAATATTGTCTCAACTGTCTGCTTCCTATCCATTAAACACGATTCGATAGAGTAGATTCACGTGCAACAAGTGCTCATGAAATTAACCCTCTTATCCCAAATGTATAGAGTCCAAAATCATATACCATTGTTGTTACTAAGACCGTGTACTTTATGTGCATCAAGCTGCTGAATTGAAGTTAGCGCTTTATTTATTTATTGTATTTAATATTCATTATACATGTACAATACCATTTTTTGGCTTATGGTTCTTGAGCAATTGTCGTCATTAATGCTGAAACTTTATCCGCTGATGTGAGGTAAATATTTTAGGCCTACAGTAGGCGCCCAGACAAAAGTAGTGATTTTTAACCGCTTGGCATTTTATTGTATTAAAATTTGTCGCGGGACAACACCGAGCGGCCGGTTGTGCATATTCGGTTTTCATGTTTCACAAACGCGGTTGAAAACCACAATGTTTCCGTGTAGGTAACCGGGGTCTTAGAGAAAAATTTCAAGCTAGTCTGTCTTTGTCTGTCTGTCAAAAAGATCGATCTGTTCATATTGATATTGATGATAAGACAATTTGGGCTTTGGATATTACGTCTCTAGGTATAACCTAGGTTGGTCTCTGAGCATAGTAGAGTTGAACTAGTTACAAGTTTCATAGTACAGTTGACCTAGGTACTTAACATCGATTCTCGATTTTTATACTAAACATTTTTAAGTTGCGAACAGATAGCTACAACACCTCAATTTACGATTATAGTAAATGGGTTCTTTTTTCGATAGTAGTGGTTGTGTACCTAAGTAATTACCTACTAATTAATCACGTACTGTATGAAGATTTTGTTTTGGGTACCTACTTCTATTGTCAAATTCATTGGCCTCCAATTAAACCTACAATGAAACATTTGCAATTATCACCTTCAATAACTAACGCCGAAAATCTATGATTATCTAGTTTACCTATACCTATGTATTCTCCGTATAGGTGTTAAAACTGGAATGACTCTGGACAAATCTCAGAATCAGGGAGAATGATTAGAAAAATAACGAATCAAATCAAATCAAATCGTTTATTTTGCAAAGAATATGGGTACAAAAATAAGATGTTTAAATACTTTTTTTACGACATTCTCAGAATTTTCATGTTCTCCTTTCATTTTATAAATTAAAGTGATAAGTACTTTTACACTTATTTACTTTTTAAATATTTAAAGCGCTGTATACGCTGCACTGCTTAAAGGTCATAGGCCCTAAACACAAGCACATGTATCCAACCGGCCAGCACCCCTCCCTTTCACCTCCATAGGGCAAATAAAACTGAGCGCGCGTTCCCAATTCAAATCAGTCCAATAGCTATCGAGAACTGCATCGCGCATGCGTTCGGCAATGTTCGAAACAATTCTTTAAAAATATACTTAGAAGAAAAAGTTTTGTTTATGTGAATATTTGAATTGAGAATTTGTGAACAAGATGGCGATGTCTATCGTGCGATTAGGATTAAGATCTATAATTAATATCGAAAGAAATGCAGCTGTTTTAACTGTGACCAGTGTTCCTAAGCAAATAAAAGTAAGTAATTTAATCATGCATGCAAGTAATTTAATGTTTTTTGTTTAATTTATGTATTATTTTTTGTTATATATGTGAAGTGTCAATGACATTTTGTGGTCGGCCGTTGCATTCTTGTTGCACGGAGCGTAACTGTACCAATAATGCAGTTGCTTGGATGTAACTAAGATATTAACGCTTTGAAGTTACGTGGAGAATGGAGATAGATATATAGGTTTCTGTATTTTCTTTTACTAAGAATCCACGCCAATATCTCGCACAAAATCGAAGGATGCGAAATAGAAAAAGGTCTAGGTATATGTAATTATTATTTTTTTATTTGTTTTTTCAACTTTTATTTTATTGTAATTGAAAGTTGAAATTCGAAATTGGAATCGTTAACCCAATAAGATCGAATTAAGTTCAATCGGCTAATCTAATTTTAATTAATATTTATCGATCCAATTACGAAGAGGTTGGGAGGCATGTAAGCAGAACCCTAGTAGAATTTAGGTATTATACTCGAGTAGAGTTTGTGTGTAAAATAAATTTTCTTTGCACAATTCTTCAAAACTTACAAACAAACATTTGAAAATATTAGAGACGAGAGTAGAAAGTCTGACGTGTCTCGAAGATTCAAAATGTCGTAAGGCATACTTAATACTCAATTAAAATTGTTCTATAGGTAACATGTAAGTTTAAGGTTTAATATCAATTAATCGGTAAGTAGGATGGACAGGTTAATATGCGATGAAAAATAAACGTGATTCGATCGATATCTAGGAAAATCTGATACATAATTTTTTGTATGAAATGCTTTTGTCTTAAATGGACTGAGAAAAAGTTTTTCAACAATACATCCCAAGTCTTAAAAGGCCGTTAACGCGCCTGTGACTCCTCTTGTGTTGTGGATGTCCGAGGAAGGCACTGATCACTTACCATAAGGTCTTCCGTCTGCACGTTTGCCTCCTTAATCCATGAAATGATAAAAGTGTGGGAGAGCCAAGCTTCGGCACGAATGGGTTGGCTCGACCGGAGTGATAAGACGGCCTCATAGAAAACCGGTGTGAAACAAACAGCGTTGTGTGTCGCCTTGTGAGTGAGGTTACTGGAGGCCCAATTCCTCCCCCTCGCCCGATCCCTTTCCAATCCTTAAATATCTGAAACCTTTATCTCCAAAAGGTCGGCACGCATTGTTAACTCCTTAGGTGTTGCAGGTGTGTAGAGGTGGCGCTAATCACTTACCATAAGGCGATTCGTGTGCTCTTTTGCCTCCTTTATCCATATGATAAGATAAAGATGAGCTATCGATATTGAACATAGATGAAAGAAATCCTCCAAATGCCTCTCTATCTGGCATTTTATAAATTGACTGACACGCGTGATGGTATATAAAGTACCTACCAATGGCTATCAGTCATGGTGTGCAAAGGTTGACTTCCATACAATGTACCGCAACCTTGTTATCTACAACAAATTAGTTCAATATTGATAAAACAGTAGCGTTTATTTATTTTTAGTTGGCCAGTTTAGCTTGAATTGTTTCGGACGAAGATGTCGAAAACAAAGTCCTACTTAGTTACGGTTCACGCATAAGAATTTATTGCTGGTTTTTGAATAACAACAGCGAAAATTTGACTGCACGGTTGGCGCGCAACGTGTCGCGGGTTCGATTCCCGCACGGAACAACTCTTTGTGTCATCCACAGATTGTTGTTCGGGGTCTGGGCGTGATGTGCATGTGGAATTGTATGTTTGTAAATGCACCTACGACACAGGAGAAAGTCCTAGTGTGGGGCAAATTTTAAAAATAAAAGGAAAGGAAATTAAAACACCCTCCCTTGTCTAACGCTTAAAATGCGTTAAGATATAAGATATCTTTCACTGCTCAAGTCTTCTTCTCCTCCCCAATTCCTTCCCAGTCCCTTAATCTCCGAAACCCTAATCCTCAAATGGCCGACAACGCAATCTTAATTCCTTTGGTATTGCAGGGGTCCATACTTGCCATCAGGAAATCCACCTGCTCGCTTGCCGATCACTTAAAAAATATATTGTGCGATCAATGAGTTATATGTTTGAGTAGGTAATAGGCGAACTATTGTATTTATATGTTATTTTCTAAGACAATTCAGACACTTCTAACAACGGTGAAGAAAAACGTCCTGCGGAACATGAGGGGGAAATTGCACTTTAGTATGTCACTTTTAACGTCATCTCATACTTTATCTATCAAATGTTGCTGTCAATTTAGTTCAACTCGCAATTGTAGCGCTAGTGTACTACTACTACTCACAGCGGATTCAGATTCAGATTCGAAATTTAGAATGAAGTCTTACAGAATCACACTGCTGGACTTATAATTTCTAATTATAAGTTTGAAATCGTTAATCCCCTTTGACCAATCGTCATAATTAATGCTCAAACCTTTTCCGTCTGAGAAGAGGCCTTTGCTCAGTAGTGGGCACTTAAAGTCTGCTGTTGATGATGATGAAGGCGAAGGCCTCTATTACATAGACCCTATTACAATAAGCGTAAAGTACCTACGTGTTTGTAAATATAAAGATGCACTTTTGCCTTCTGGGCGAGTACTTAGATAAGGTTTTTAAAAACTTAGGTACCTTAAGGTTAACCTTTGTTTACATTTTTTTCTTGTTTCTTAAAATAGAATTGTAACCTAGCATTAACAGACAATTAAGCTCGTTAGCTAACGTAATAAAACATAATTAACTAATACAAACTTAAGATAACCTATTATCTTAATGTACCCAAGTCCTAATGGAGCTGGTAACTTCAATCTTAGTCTTTATGCAGTGCATTATAGATACGACTTTGGTGTAATTTTTCTTACTGATAGTAGGTCAGTGTTGTGAGGTTTATTGAACTAATGTTATCGCCATTTTTTCAATGTGTTATTGTTTTTAAACAATACGTTATTAAATGTATTTCAATAGAATAATGCATGTCTGATAGTAAAGAGCTTAAATAGGTACTGAAATTCAAAATGAATACAAAAATTACGTGAGGGAGAGCCAAGCTTCGGCACGAATGGGTAGGCTCAACCGGAGTGGTACCAAAGCCTCACAGAAAGCCGGCGTTAAAAAAAAGCCACAGCGTTGTGTTTTGCCGTGTGAGGGAGGTTACCGTAGGCCCAATTCTTCCCATCTCCCCATCCATGTCCGATCCTTAAATATCTGAAACCCTTATCCCTACAAGGCCGCCAACGCACTCGTTACTCCTTTGGTGTTGCGGGTGTCCATGGTTGGTGCTGATCGCTTATCATCAGGTAATCCGTCTGCTCTTTTGCCGACCTATACCATAAAAAATGCTTCTTTTCAAACGGAGATTGCGATGTTAAATTTATACTAAATAAAAATTATAAGTCCAGGTTTCTTCATGATGTTTTCCTTCACCGTTTGCTAACCGTTTGCCTTTGGGCTACCAGTACCATGATAAGCCGTGGCCCCGTTTATACCAAGAGGAGGAACGGAGTGGATTTTAGCTAATAGTTTAAGAGTCAGATACGCTCCACTCGCTCCACTTAGCACTAGAGAAGCCTCCGAATGATTTCCCCCCTCAAGTAAACTTGCACTCATATTTGTAACCACGGACTCAAGGCAGTATTTTATTTATTTTTTATTGTGTTGTTTATTATTGTATTCTTGTTTACGTACTTTCAAAGTGGTGTACGTGAGCGAGGTCGTTTCTTAAAAACAATTGTATGTATACCTACATAATAATATTCATTCATAATATAGATATGTTTGTCGTGAATGGTAATCGAAGCGGCCCTTGCCAAGGACGTTGGGCTTAGAGATTCGTTTAGAAACGTTCCAACCTATGATATAGTTTGGTGCTGTATAATAGGAACTTATATCTCTTGTTAGAACCAAGGTCTTTTATGAAGAAAAGCTGACAAGGTCTTTACGAGCATGTTCGACGATCAAAGCAATAATTTTAACTAATTTTGTTGGTTGGTTTTTGGCTTAAAACGCGTGTAGTTCACATTGAAGTGAGGTTACTGGACCAATCCTGTTCCTCAAGACTCTGCTTCTTAAGTTCCTTATCCTCAAAAGGATGATAAGGCACTTTCGCCTTTGGTGTTGCGGATGTCTCCGGTCGGTGCCGATTGTTTACAACTGGTGCTTCTCGTTTCCACCTTTTGTCGCACCATCAACAGTCACTGCGGTCTTTCTTGATATAAGAGGTCAAGGTTACCATAGATAATATCTTCGTTTACTATTTAGAAGGCAGGTCGCAGCTTGAAAGGTTCAGGTCTATCTCTAAAGGGCTTTGCTGATCTGTTTTTGTCCCATGTTCTATACTTATTTAACTGCATATTTTACTCGTCACGGTTAAATTTTTAGTTTATTGTAGTTTTTATTGCTTCATTGATTAATTCTGACTACTTTAGTAAACTGATGATTATAACGTATAAGTGTTGGAGAGCCATGCTTCGGCACGAATGGGTCGGCTCGACCAGAGTGATATCACGGCCTTACAGAAAACCGGCGTGAAAAAACCACAACGTTGTGTTTCGCCGTGTGAGTGAGGTTACCGGAGGCCCAATCTTTCCCCGAAATAAGGGAATGAAAGTCTTTTTTTTTTCAAACATCTATAGTTTGGTCCGATGTTGCCATTATTTAACGACTTGTCTTCTTAGAGAGTCGTAGTTGAATTGTTATTTTGAATAACAATTGTCTTCCAAAGTTCAAAAGTCAATAGTCAATGCTTTCATTTTCGCATTCTTAGGTACTTAATTTAAATTTCAAATAGTAAATACGTTAGTAGTTGATATATCTCTTAAGTTTATACATTTTCCAAGCGTATGGCGCAAAGCGTTCCGCGCGCGTTTTTAAAATTAATAGAGCACCACAGACGGGCCCCATAGGGCTGGTGTTTAGCTGGTTAGGTTAGGCTAGCGCAATAAGGCACTGTGGCCTCGGGCTTAAGCAGAAGGACGGGGAGTTCTTAGTCAGTAAGAGTCTGACACTCTCTCTCGCCTCACCCTGGCAAAGAAAAGTC